GAACCAACTGTGACAGGTACTAATTACACGGATATAATTTTTTATCCACAATTAACTCAAGATGGAATTAGAGAAATCGTTTACTTTCAACAAAATGGCGCACCGATATTTTTCATTGATATCACGAGATTTGTTAAATATTTTTTCTTAATCCAAAGTAGATAGGTCGAGCTGGAACGATTGAGAAGTCACCGCGATCTCCTAAGTTAACTGTCTCAGATTTTTTTTCTGGGATATGTGAATGTGCTACAATTCTAGCAACGTAGGAGAACTAAAAAATTATATTATCAAAAATATTCCGCTCAATAGGTTAAAAAAATCGTTTAAAAATTTATAATTTCGCTGGTATTGAAGAAAAGAGTATGCACGTACACCATTTATTGTAACTTTTACATTCTTCATTACTAATGATTGCTTTTTAATTTTTAATAAATTTTTATTATGTTTTGTTACTGAATAAATTATTTTTGATAATTTTATGTTTTTACATAAATTTTATGTGATTTTACATAAGGAAATGCAGTGTTACTTGAAAATTTGAGTATCAAATTATACATTTTTTTAAATAATACGAATCTCTCTTTTAAAATTCATCAAAATATTTGTTCGAACATACAAAAAAAAAACTTGGTAAACGAAATCAATTAGTGCGCATCTTTCTAGAGAAATTATTAAGCTTTACATTTATATTTAAAATCGATCACTCCTATTTGGGACACCCTGTATTTATATTAATTGTCATTATCTCACTTGGTACTACAGTGCTTATAGTAGACCATAAAACAATAATAAATTTAATTTAATAAACAATTATATCAGTTTACCTTGATTTAGACCAAAAGCTATAAATCTATTATAATAATTTATAAGTAACCCAACCTCTTCGACCTTAAAATTTTTTCAGAAGAAACAATATAATGTTCAAATCGAGCTCATTAAAAAATTCTTACAATTTTCGTGAGGTCCACCTACGACCGCTATCATTAATAAAAAAATACTTTCGCTTAGAAAATAGACTCAATAACATATATTTAATTACACGTTCAAAAAAGTATTAAGTGTAGGTCACCAGGTCACACATACGATGCCTGTTTGCCTATTATTAAAGTTGTTATCGTTTGGATTTGAGTCTCCGGAGGCAAAAGGGAGTTCACGACTCTATTCAAGATTCAAATCCGTCACCGTGTAACAATACGGAGTAAAGTAAACGGATAGCGAGAAGGTCATTTTCAGTCACACCTAAACTTACGTTGACCTCGTGGGTTGCAGAAACCACTCTCACGAGCTTTAAATTCTGATTTAATTTTTTTTTCCGCCAATAAATCCGAGAGTGGAAAAAACAAACATGATTCGAGTATTTTACTGTACAATCACGTTTTTGCGTTAGCACTAGTTTTAATGACAAAGTGGGAACGCGATAATATTGCGTTTACGCTTTCAATAATATTTCTATTCCGCCATTATATTCAGTGATTTCTACGAATGTATAGTTTCGTTCAGAGATAATTTTTGATTTTATTATAATTTTATCACTACAAAGGATCCAGCCAAACGGAGCTGGTCCCCAAAATTTGAATTTTAGTTTCAAAAGCGGCACTTGTTTGACAACCTTCAGAAACATAAATATTTAAACAAAATTAAAGGCCGAATGCCCACTGATCCCTGAAGTTTATATATTTTTCAAAATTACATGCATTAACCAATTTTTTACTATGTTTGATCACCCATTATAAATTTTTAACCATCCCTTAAAATAATGTCACGGGTTATGTTATAGGAAAAAACAAGAGTTCTGATATAATTTCAACTTTGAAAAATGATCAATCATCAAGAAGTCACAATTAAGATCCAGTAAGGATTAAAATTATGTAGCGACGTTTAACCAACCCCTAAAATAATTCGAAAGACACCATACGGATCAAAATTCTAAGAAACAATTTTCCAATTTAATTTCGACTTGGTAAAAATGGTCAATCGACATGAAGGCACTATAAAGATCAAAATTCCATTTGGAAATTGTTTTTTTTTTCGAATTTTCACACTCTTTGGACTCATTATAATTATTTTAGGTAATCTATCCATTTGTTTGAATTAGGGTGTGGTTCAAACCTCACTCATACTGAAGCTTTAGACTTAGTTTACCCTTCTCAGTTTCTACCCCATCAGGTTAATATTCTTGATGAATTCAAGTATGTAGATGTATGTCTGATGGATGCTTTCGTGATTTATTAAGATTCCGGATATTGTACCGCCAGGTGCCATTCCCGTTATCATTTAAGGCCCCGGTAATGACATAGGGAGTCACCAGATATCCCTCAAGGGCGGCTCCAGGGGGAGGCATAGGGGCCATGACCCCCCCCCACCTCCGAGGTGAAAAGTCTTACGATTTATAGGCCTTTTATTAAAAAAAAAAAAATGCTAAAAAGAGAATAGCTAAAGGCAAAGACCCTCCTCCCCCCCCCCCCGAAAATTCGTCTTGAGCCGTCCTTGATATCCCTAAGATATTTAGGTGACTTCTAAAGCCGCAGTTTACCATAAAGAGTCCTATTACGGCCTTTAGTTAGCTTCTGCTCAGGTTAGGCAGTTGATTTTGTCTGCTCTTTGATGAACTCTATAGGAATATTCTGGACTGCCTCCAGGAAGTTCCAACCAGAGATTATGGTATTCTCTATTATCTGTTCCATTAGCACATATTTATATAAAATACCACATGTGCGATCTGGTCTAATTAAGAGTTCTCGTGTCTCGTTTCCTAATATTTTCTCATGTCCCGGCACCTATGCAAATGCCTTGTTATGTTCTGAAAGGGGCCTGGAGGGATTATTGGCAATCAAATATTAATTTGAATTGTACTTCTACCCTTTTCAGTGCTTTAAAGGCTGCCTGACTGTCTGTCATAATAAAGACCCTCTTATCTATAAGAAAGTCATTTAGCGTAACCTGAGCACAGACATTTATTGCTATTTCAGCCTGGACGACTGTTGCCAGTGACCCCAGATTTGGACTAATGGTCCTCTCTGATTGGTTCTGTGTTTCTTTATTTTGGCCCTTTCTGGTATTTGCATATCGAAAGGTTTTATAAAGTCATGAATAATAAGTGTTTTATCCAATGGCATTCTTAACACAAGTTAGAATGGAAGAAGGCTAGCAGTAGCTCTATTGCTGCAGTGAACGTACTTCTTAAGGTCCCTGTTATTATTAGACAGGCCAGCCTTTATATCTTATCTAATTTTCTGCTAATTAACTGTTAAACTTTTAGCCTTGTATCATCATATGACTGATAAGTAGGTTTTAACGGGTACTACAACTATAGTATAAAGCCAGTGAATGTAAGCCCTCAAGTGTTCCCTACAATCCGTCTACAGGCCCACAGTTCTGTTTTTTCTATATGACTGTAGAAGCATCAGGGTGATTCCGATATTTAACCTCCTTTGCCATTTTTAGATGCTGTCCCAACATATAAAGCTTCATTCTTCGCAGGTTTCTTTTTCTTGTAAATGCAACAGCAGATATTTTCGCCAGGTTTGTGGACAATATCTTTTTTAGCCACCATCTTTCGATGATATTTAGTGTCTGCTGCATCTTTTCGGGCCCAAATTTACAGTTTATTACGGTGCTTATGTCATCTGCAAATGCTTGCGTATGCAGGTTTTCTCTAACTCCCATCAGGGATCATCAACCACCAAGGTCCTCATGAGAAGAGATAAAACTCCTCCTTGCTGGCATCTCTTGTTAACTGAGATATCTCTTATTGTGATAAAAGGGATTACTAGTAATGGTTCTATGATTAAGCATGCATGAACTCAACCCTGCGTAATGAAGTATGCTACATACATAGATCCCAGTATTGAATTTTACGAAGCCGTGTCTAGAAATACTTATATTTCTTTGCTTTCCAAACTTTTCAACCTTTTGAGCTAGCCTATGTATGTCTTTATTTTTCTGAAAGAAAGTTACTGGGCAATAGGTTAAACGCATTTCGCATTTAAAACAAAAATTTTCGAATTTCGGGTGGCCAGCTTCACCCAGCTGCCGAACGGTACCCTGCAAATAGATCCAGGATCGGACTTTAACTAGATGTTACGATTTAGTTAGTGATTATGTCTGAAAATACCTCAAGAGGAAAGAAAGTGTTATACGTACTTAAATATTACATTGATTATTCAAAATCAGAGCAGAATGTTACGAAGGTTAAAGGCTTGAAAAGCATTTTGTAGAGTTGTTTGTATCCTCTTGTTGTAAGAAATTAAAAAAAAGTTCAAACAGAATTATAGAAATATAATTTTATTACATTCCTTCTTCTTAATTTTTCAAAACTGCTTCCGGCTTTTCTATTTTTTTATTCAGTTAGAATTGTTCAGGCTAGGCTGCAAACGTTAAACGAATAAAGAAAATAAAGCACCAGCGATTAGTTTACAGCGTTAATCCGTGGATTGTTTATAAATTTCTGATAAAAACAGGAAATTTAAAAATGTACAGATTTCGATTTAGATAATATGTAGATTTTAGCATTTATGAAATTTAGGTCGATTGTGTGTGACTGCATCGCCTACCTAATAAACCATGAAAACTGGATCAAACCAATGTGGCTGTCATTTACAATATTTAAACAGGAAATAACCTTTAACTTTTTATATGTAGATATAAGGAATGTCATAATTATTACCTGGCCATGATTTTAAATTTTATGCAAAATTAAACTTTTATTAATATGAATAAATATATGATATAAAAAATATTATGTTACTTTCTTGATATCCTTGTGCCCTATTGATGTTGGATTTCACTCTGTTGCTGTTGTGAGCCCTTTCATGTTTAATTTTTTTAACTCATCCCTCATTTTATTCTACCTCTTCATGTGTTCCTACCTTTTTTTTAATTTTTCCTTACCCTACTAATTTTCTTTATTGGTCTTCCTGTTCCATGGAGCAGTTTAAATAGGTATTTTGTTTTTCTCCTAATGATTGCGTTGTATTTTTATGCCTATTTATTTGTTTCAGGAGCGATTTCGGCAGAAAGAAAATTTAGGAACGCTCCAATCGCTACAAGCGTAAAAACCGGAGTAAATTTTGATTGCCCCGAAGAATTTGGATACTATCCACACCCCAGCGACTGCACGCAGTACTACGTTTGTGTTTTCGGTGGAGCACTTTTGGAATCATGCACTGGAGGCCTTATGTACAGGTAAACATTTACAGTATATTTCTGAGCCATAAAAAAAATTGTTTTTTTTTTTATAATTGGTATCTTAGATATGTTGGCATTACTGGTCTCGATCTAAATATTCTGTGTAATTCATTTCAAAAATTAATACATATTATCGCAATAAAATTTCTTTCTGGTTCCTTGGAAGGTCACGGATATTGGCAAACATTCGGAATGTTTCATACCTTCATGCGGATTTGAATACCGTTTTCACTTTTTATGCATAAATTAAATGATGATTTCAATGATTATTTAGATTTTGCTGGATTCTATTATTAGAAATTTCAATAAACGCTTCAAGATTAATGAGTTAGGTTATTATTGACGAGCAAATTAAAGAAAGCATTCTAGTTAAAGATATTTGATGATATTTCTATAGCTATTCATTATATGCAGGGTGTTCAATTAAGAATGGGACACAGAACAACTGAAGATTCTTTGAATAAAAATAAGACGATTAAACTAAACATGCTTAGGTAAAATGTTACTCGTTTCCAAAATAAAGAGTGTTAAAGTTGAAAATTCGCAAAAAAATAATGGCTATAACTTTTCCAGTGGCATACGGCATGGGCAAGTAACACCTTCATCCTCTCTAAATTTTACGACTATAATTTTATTTTTTTTCTTAAATAAATGATATAATCTTGTTAAAATTTCAGAAATTCAAAATAAATCAAATCAAAAGAGCATCCACCTTTGTGTGCTAATAATACTTTATAAGTTTCCAACAATTGTACATTTGTAAAAAAAAAACATCAAAAAAATAAAAATTGTAATCCAAATAAGTTTTTGGACAGTGGCGTAAAATTTAGAAGGGATGAAGGTGTTACTGTCCCCATGCTGTACGCCACTGGCACAGTTTATTTACCTGATTTTTTTTTGTGATAGGCGTGTCTATTTCGGAAACAAGTAATATTTTACCTAAGCATATTTCGTTTAATCGTCTTATTTTAAATCAGAGAATTTTCAGTTTTTCTATGTCCCATTCTTAACCGCACACCCTGTATATATAAAAAGCGCCATATGCCCTATAGGCCCAAGGCTACAGTTACAATTTTTCTCTATCCCTGACAGCTTCTCTCCTAAAGTCTGCAGGTGTTCCTCCACTTGTCTCCATAATACTCTTTTTTGACTAGTTTGGGGTTGGTGGTTTAGACCCGCTTTTGCAATTTTATCATCCTGCATTCGAAGTATATGTCCCATCGCGTATTCTTTGGGCGTTGATCACTTTTACTACATTTGCATCTTGTTTCTCTCTTCTATATCAAATACATCAAATGTTTACCTTCATATATTCTCCTTAACATATTTCTTTCCCATACACCAGTTTGTTTTCTATATTATTTGTCATTATTTCACAATCTTATAAGTATATCCTGATTTTAGCTTTAATGGATACCACTTTTGATCTTAGGGCTTTCATGATTTGCCCAGTACACATTGTTACTTTGATGTTTTCTTCATTTCCCCTGTTTTTCGTAAACACAGAGCCAAAATAATTTAAATTTTCCACCCTCTATTTCTATATTTTAAGTTTTCTTCTTCAATAACTAATTTATTTTTGTTTTTTATGTAGGGTTCCCATTTCCTTATACTTTGTTTTATTCTTGCTGATTCTTTTCCTTTGAAAAAGTATTTATAACTTTAAATCTTTCTCTATCTGTGCCATCATCTAGATATGCAAGACAGTGATGGCTTTTTACAAAAATTTCCTTTCTGTTTGTATGTGGCTTTCTTATACGATGTATTCTAACACAATATTAAATAGCACTACTAATAAAAACTGTTCCTGTTTTTAAAGCCATGAGCTCCAAACCTGTGACTGGCCCAGGAACGTGGGTTGCGATGGATTGGACGTGTCAGTGTCCGGTTCTCCAGCTTCCTTTTCCTACAGCACACCGTCGAGGAGCAAAGAGAGAGGAAGAGAGAAGGAAAAAGTTAGAAATGAGTCGCGAACTAAATATTCGCCACCTCCTCCACCACCACCACCTCCTGCACAGCCTGCTGCCGTTGTGACATCTAGAGGCCAACCCAGAAATTTGCATCAGAGCCAACAACAAGAAATTATTAAGGTAAGCTGATTCACCTTCTCTATTTAAATCCCTTGTTTGATATAGAAGCTCAATGCCACCCTGTTACTTATATTTAAGGGCTAGTCCCTCTACTTCTCTTGGTTACTTTCATTTAATTAAAATCATGAGTAATAAATTAATAAAACCAATGAACTAAATCCTATTAAATCGAGCACTATGAGCTATTTTACACCTACTCCATTGTATTCGAAATAATATTCATAGGTATTACAAAATAGATAAATCTTAACTGAAGTAATAACTAGTCATTGCTTAATATCACAGATCTTATCTTGGGTCTTAAAAAATATTGTTCATTGTGCTGCTATCAACAGAACAATTTGGGAACAAGATAAAGACGATTTTAAAATTCCGTAATTCTTTGCGGTTATGTAATTTTAACCAAAAAGTAAGAAATACGTTGAGTTTTGTTAAAAAAATAATTTTATATATACAGTGCTGTTTATATGAAAGGAATACATCATTATTTAGTAACTCGTTGACTTCTGAAAAATTCTTAAAACGCGTCTGATATTCCTTTTACTTGCGACGTCATCCAACTATGTTTTAAAGTAGAAATGCGATACATCATTTGAACGGGCTTTTACTTATCTATCCAATTATATTAATAGTTTAAGTAATTCAGATTTTACACTATCAATTACTTAAAATTATTAATATAGTTGGAGTGAAAATTAAAATACCTTTCAAATGATTTAACGCATGAACCACATTTATACTAAACTAATGTATTTTTCATTAGCACCATGCTGCATGTATTAATAATAATTAATTACATATATTAACTAAAATAAAGATATAATGCTTGGCATTCTATATTATACTCGTCACAGTTTAACAGGCCCCTTTAACCCCGATTTTTAATCAGATTTTCGTTTCTCACCTTCATCGAAATGGTAACGCACTGCGATTTGTAATCTGGATCCATATTACGGTACCCATCAAGTCGTACAACAAACTATGTAAATTAAATAAAAATTCATGTGGTCTGCTCTAAGATTCGATGCCATTTCACTAAACACTGAAAGGAGTTAAGGAATACCTACACCACTGGTAGCTTTCCCTTTCATTCTACCTGATAGGAACCGACATACTGATGTGTCAGGGATTAATTATATTATTAATAAAATAAAAACTATATATATATACAAATAATTAGATAATTCAACTTTCAAACTACAATAGCTACTATTCTTTATTAGGCATTCAATTGATTTTCCAAAAAGATAGATTAATTTTCTTAATTAATGTCCCTATCCTAATGGATGATTACTTTAAAACGTACTTCCTATATCCAATCCCAATACAAAACAAAATAATCCCTCCTCACAAACCTTACCTAATCCTAAATGAGAGAAATGATTTTTATCAATATCAAGATGAACCCTGTGAAGAGCTAGAGAATATATTGTATTGCAAAAAATCATCTCCAGACAGAAGATGATTCTATTGTTGGAATAATAAGCAAATATCAAGCTATCAATTGCACCAATTGCAAATTACTGTACACATTGAAAACTTCATTACAAAACAAGTTACTCCACAAAATATTCTGTTGACTACACTAAACAATATAATTATAACTGAAATATGTTTCAACGAAAAGTACCACAAGCTCAAACCTGGTAGTTATTTACTTACAATTCCTGAAAATTGTTCATTTCAAATTGGAAAAGAGAAGTTCATTTATGGAAATGCTGAGATATCACCGGTGACTTTTGTCCAGCTGCTTCACATAAATCTGTCAAAAATCTTGCAGTAACTAAGGAAAATTAAACTTGTCAATCTAGATGTTGAAGTGATCAAACACATAGCAGCAAAAGTAAACATGCAGCATTAAATTACACTACCGCCAAAACCACAAGATCATGAAGAATCTATTCCTACTTGGTTGATTATTCTGATCAGTACCCTAATGGTCATTACCTTCATAAGCATAACATGTTACTATTGAACTTGTTACCCATATTTTTACACGAAACAAATAAGATCCAGTACAAAAATCACTGGAGAAGCCTAGCCAAATAAGCCACCCTAAGACTTCTACTTTAGCGGGGAGGAGTTAAGGAATACCTACACCACTGGTAGCTTTCCCTTTCGTTCTACCTGATAAGAACCGGCATACTAATGTGTCAGGGATTCCCGGCATTTATCTGTGAAGTGCATCATTGTTAGATAAAGACTGATATTTTGTTCAATATTATTTTTATCGTAACTTATCTATTTAATATTACTAACTCATATTTTTACGAGCATTTATCTTTTAAATCTTAGTATTTTTCCAACGCAATATTATAAAAACCAAATGTACGTTGATATCATATTATTTTGTAACCTGCTATTCTAGAATAAAGTTATTCTATAGTTTACGAGTTATTCAAAATAATTAACCAAAAACCTTAAAAATATATATAATTAAGGTCCGTAAATGAATACGAGTCGCTCGAACTTACATAATAATATGTAAATAAAATATTTGTTGAAATATTGAGTATCTACGCAATTAAAAAAAAATAATGATTTACTATAACATTTATTTTAGAGATGAAGCAAAACCAATATTTTAAACAATTCATACAAAAATCCAAAATAATTAATCGGAGGTCAGTCAATTCGACAAAATATTGTCTATTAAAACATTATTTTTCGAATAAAAATGCAAATTCTGCTAATTTCAGTGATACGATATAAGTTAGAGAACAACATTCTTGTATGAATCTGATTATTATACGACAAAAACAAATAAAAAGTTATTTCGCAAAAATATGTCATTGAATTTCATAATACTAATCGGTCTGATTGACATCGAAATTATTAAAAAATGCGTAGGTATAAAATACACGGAGACAATTCATGCACAACCTTTTAAGCTTAAGCAATGACTTACCGCAAAGAAATCTAACACACCACTTCAGGGTTTTCAGTAGTTTTATAAACTAAAATTACCTAACTTATTCAAATTTTCCATACCAGATTTAAATAAAAATTAGAATTTTCTGACTTTTAAGTTTATCTTGTGAATCATTCTGATTTTTGTTTAATTTGCAGAGAAAACAACAACAACAGCTTTATGCTGATGCAGAAGAAACTTTGCCTCCGGCCGAAGAAATTGAAAATGATCGTCAACAACGTGTCTATCGTGGACAACCTTCAACCATTGGTCAAGTACAAAGAGACAGAGATGGTCTCAGACATTCTAATGCCATATCTGTAAGTAATTATGTCTAAACTATCATTATGAAACGTAGTACATTTCTCTTTCAGGAGCAGAAATCAATTGTCGAATTAAGTTGAACTTTATTAATATTTAATTTTTCCCGCAGTAACAAAGATTTAAATTGTTATGTTGATCCGTAATACTTGACACATTAACACAATTCTTTCTACCATAATAAAGCAATTCTAATCCTTGAAATTTATTTTTATCGTTTGGATTCTTTAGCTGAGAAAACAAAGCCATTCTCTAAATGGTTTTAAATATCATCTAGAACTCGTTTAGTACATTACTTTATTCTATATATAAAACTAATTATATCATTCCATTTTGATAAAATAGACATACTATGAATATGTGATAAAAGTCCTCTGGTGAATAGGTGAACTATCCTACACTAAACTAGGAATAATTTAAAGTCAAGTACCATACGCGATTACCCAACTAGCACAATAATTTTATTATTAGACTAACCTGTATATACAGGGTAGCGCATTAGTGCGTGAAAGTCCCTGTTTCTTTTATATCTATTATTTTTAATTTATCTATTTAAATAAAAATGTGTCATGTCCGGTCGTGTTCTAATTCCTTAAGTTTATATTTTCCTTATTTGGGCCTCTTACGGTCTCCCTAGTCCGATTACCAAGAATATTCAAATAAATTAATCAACCTCTGAAAACCCTAAGGATACGCCCATGGCAATGCCCATTAGTAGAAGTAACCGCAGTATACTAGTAAAATTCTAGAATTTACCGGAATCACCACTGTCTTTAAAATGGTGGGTCCGCCGGCATATTTTATGGTGGAAGGACGTCTAGAGTATTCGTAGAGAAAAGTTGGTTACGCCAAATTACGCCAAATTTCGCCAAATGACGTGTGACATTTAAGAATAAAAATCTAGCTCTCAAACAATTTTTGAAATTATTTTTAATAAGAAATATTGTCAATGGGAAATTTTTAAATTAACACCCTGTATAATCGTTATAAACAAATTTATGCCACTTGTGTATTAATGGTCAATAATAGGAATAGGAAAAATAAGTGATTCTTAGCGTTGTTTCAACCATCTTATTTTTTATTACAGTCATACAGTGGAAGAGGCGAAAAAATCGGTGTAATCTCATTTGGAACTCAAAATCAACATTACAGGTAAGATATTTTTAAATAATTGCAACAAATATTTATAATAATTCGCTCTACCAGATCGACTGATGACGACAAACTACTTAAATATTTGACATCAAAGAAGAGACATAAGAGACAAATACGAAAAAGGTAAAAAAAGACTGTACCAAGAAGAGTTTTTCTTATAGATTCGGTATTTGGTTCCAAATAAATAACTTAAAAACAAGGCCCCTGAAAATATAGTACATAGTACATTGAGTCTTAAAAAATTCGAATCGTATGTTTATGGACTTAATGTTCCCTGTCCATAAGAGTTAAAAATAATTGTGGTGAAGATTTCAAATTCAATTATTTGTTCGCAAGATTAAAATAAGATCATGTTATTCTACATCTTTTTTTAGAATACGACTTACTGCATAGAAACCCTTAAACCCTTAATAAAATATGGAGCTATACTTTATTATTATTTATTTCAACTAAATCTATATAGTTCATAATGTTCAATTTATTTTACGTTCTAAAGTTGAATACATTTTAAGACTCCATGAATTGTTGTATCATTCGGGGGCATTTTAAGAATTATTACGTAATCACTAATGTAGTACATTGAATAGCTAGATATTTTTTTTCATGAATGTGTGTTAAAATTCTTTGGGAGAACCAAATACCCCACTTCTATTCGAAGAGTGCAGAACACGGCGGTGAGTATAGCTTAATAAACATTTTTTAGTCACCTTCCTGAAACCCTACATCATCATCCCAGACAAGGGACAGAGAAAAAAATTGTGGATTTTGTGCAATTTCAGCCGTTGACTGAAAATACCTATAAAAGCCACACCAAGAGAATTAACTTTAATCCTAGCGCACAGATAAGTAATAACGAAGAAGAATTCCACCCTTTTACTCCTAGTTACCAAAAATCTAGCAATTACCAATACATCGCTTTTGGGAAGTATGCTGATACGCCAAGAACTTCTACATCTAGATACGTAGATAACTACACACCAAGAACTAATAAAATAAATCGCTACCCAATTAAATATAAACAGTCACCTGTCTTAATCCTTCAAGGGGATTACAGTCAGATAGAGCCTCTGACAGTTCCTAACCAATCACAAAAACAAGATAAAAATAATCAAATAACCCAAGCCTTAGTATCGCCTTATACAGAAACTACCAACACAACCGAAGAATTGCAAGATAAATCCGAAGACAGTACAAATCATGAATCAACTGAAAGTGCTAATAACGAAACTCTTTATAACGCAGAATACGATCATTTTCAACCGCCTCCAGAGTTTTTTAAATCCGAGAACAAGTACGCTAATATCAAGAATCCGTTTGCAAACCCAAACTTCGATTTCGATGAGTTCCTCAAGAGGTTTGAAGATTTCCTTACCACTACAGCGAAGCCCACAGAAAAAGTTACTACAACCAGAGCTCTGCCGCCTCATTTAAACGTAACAGATATATCACCAGGCCTAAACAATCACAGAAGCATCTATTCCAAAGTAATATCAGATTACGCGGATGGTAATGGATTTAAAGATGACAAAAATATAAATAATAAAAGATACAACTATCCAACTGTTGATCCTATTAACTATGTTTATAAACATTTAGGAAACGGATCCGTTTTGGTAATTCCGAAAGCAGATGAAAAAAAAATTCATCCAAATTATGGGTGCGTCGATGCAAATAACTCAAGCAAAAGTATTTGCAACCAAGATATTAAACAAGAACCAAAACCTTTTTCGAAAGCTAACCAACTGAACAAGTCCAATGATTATTACTATTATTACGACGGATATGAAGACGAACCTTACTCCGACAAAGACAATAAGAAAAACAACAAAGATTATATTTATTACTACGAAGACTATTATTATCCAGAATTTAATTTAAGTAAGAGTTCTTCAACTAACACAACAAATCGAAGCAAACCACAAACTTTAGAAACTGAGCGACAAACTTACAACGTTTCCAGTACTCCTCTTACAACAATGACAACAACAACAACATCACCAATAACAACAACACCAATAACAACAACTAGTACTACTACCACCACTGTTGTTCCCTCTACAGTTTTATATAAACAAAATACTCGTATAAGTAGTAAGCCAAAATATTCGCTAAACACAAATAGGGGTTTAAACAGAATTAATAGACCTCTAAGTAATACAAACAGGAAGAGAAATGAAGAAAAAATTAGACATCAACAAACAACAACACAGTCTAATGCAATTGGTTCTAAAAAATTACGATGGAAAGGTAACAAGAGGTAAAAAATCCGTTTAAATATCGTTTAGTCATTAAGTTACTAATATATAATGTTTCAACAAAAATTTGATCCACATCTTTGAATTCGGAACTGGCTTTTCTTTGTTTTTAAGGTGATTCGTTATGTTTTCTTCAGACTAACTACTAAACAGTTATATTTATTTTGATGTGCCTTTGCTTCAATCCCTTAATGCCTCCATTTCAATTTCGAATATTTTTTAACTGCATATTGCTTCAGTTCTTTCCACTACTGATTCCAATTCTTTGATTCTTGTTATTGGTGTATTAGTTTCAGTTAAGTTTGGTGCATACTATATTTTCTGTTAATTATTGCATTCTTCATTTAATATTTGCTCTTTCACTTGATTTCTTATATTTCATCATCGATCTAATCTTTCTCTTCTAATGCATTGCATGTATTTTCTGTGCATGTAAACGTGTTGTTACTAATAATACATCAAAAATAAAAGATATCAAGTTTTTGTTGAAACACATTATTTGTATTGGAGTGCTTATTGGTATTTTGCATATCATATTCAAAAATTTGTATTATTCTTATCGTCATTGTTAACATTAACATAATATGAAAATATTAATAAAATACGAAAAACTGTTTTTATTCTAGCTCAGGGTAATTTAGCATAATTTTTGTATGACTGACTGTATATAATTTATATTGATTATTTTGGTGTAAAAATATTTGTAAATATTGTAAAAAGCGCAAAATATATACGGTTAGTGAAATAATGAAATTGACATGAAATCTGCTGTCAAAATTTGGAAAAATGTTATAGACAAACAAAATGATTTGTAAGGTAATTTTTCAAAGCAGTCTCATTATTTCGTATATGTTCATTTCCACATTCATTTTTGTACAAAGAACCCTTCAATATGTATATAAATATAATAATTTTAGTTGTATATATATTATCTTGTGCATTTGTTTTCTGGAAAATGTCCAATAAAACAAATCGTATTAACATTGAAAATATGGTTATTTTTGTGTACATATACTATTTAAAAAAATTACTTTGGACTAACAAACAAGAGACTCTTGACAGTAGGATACTGACTATTAACAATAGTGTTTAGAATACGTATTTTGAAAACCAGTAGCATATTTGAATAAATAAGCATGATTTGAATAATTAAATTATATAAAGATGAAGAAACAAAGAGAAAAGTATTCTAAATCTCACAAATATATGTATTTTTTTTCTTATTGCGACCAGTATCCAAGTTACATTACTTTATAATCTAGTACACCTAGCAGAAAAAATATTTTATTTTTTCCTTTTCTTTAACTTTCTAATTTGGTTCTAAAATGCTTTTTCTTCTCAGTTTGCCTTTTTGATTGACAGAATATCAATTTAAAATGTTTTACACCTAAATATATTTTTTTACAAAGTAATCTATTCGAAATAATTTTTATTTCAAAAAATCTTCCATTTGTAGTTGGTTAAGTGAAATTTATTAATGTTCTTATTTTGGGTAATTTTTAACATTTAATAATTTAAAAACATTTGACAAATTATAACTATGTTTCATAAACATGACCATTAATACTTTTTAATATTAGATTAGTAAAATTAGTTATTGTTGGTAAAATATTTTTTTATAAACTCGTTCGCTAAACATTTAATATAATATTGATATGGAAATCTCCTTCCGGAATATAATTTCCAACCAAAAACTTTAATCTCAATACGGGGTAGTTCAAAGATCTAAAATAATATATTTAGTTCTTTCTTTAATAATAAAATGAATAAATGTTCCTTTTCTTCCCCTTCTCTGTCCTTTCTACCACTGCGTATTTGTCCTGCTCCTCTGGATATCTATTTCCATTATGCTCTTCTTCTCTCCTATCTGCTACTCTCCCTCTCTGCTAACGTCTTAATATCTGCTGATTCCTTTTTTGTATTAAAATTTATCTTTACCTTTTTTTATACCTTTCTTTATTTCATAATTTCCAAAATAATTTACAATTCATATTTTTACTTTTCTAAAAACATTTCCATTTTCTCAATTCAAAATCCAAAATCCTCAACATAAAACAAAATGTTTGCTGACTACTGCAATTTTTATACCGCCCCGATATTGCTGCTATAGTTTTTCTTTGACCTCTAGTAAATTCCAAATCAAATCTCCCTAACCGATTTTCACATATATGTCACTTCTCCAAGAGCCATATTGTTAATATCAATTTACCAAATTTATCAAACTACGAAATTTTGTTTGAATTGGTTGATTGCTAACACTACATTAAAATAAAAACTCCTCATAGCATCAAAATACTACAATACTAAGTTTCAGATTTACATACATTCATCCTTATACAAATTTTATATGTTCTGATATCCCCTTATTCTCTCATCTCATTTAAAGTTTTATTCATTTTGCAATCTTTCTAACTAATTCGTTTTGTGCATACGATTTTTTTATTCATCTTTATATATCCTTTACATCTGCTTTCTAAATTCTTCTTTTCACACTACTTTTCTCATTATTTATCATACTATTATACCATTCTAAATTTTACTTTCTGCGGCATAAAACTATCATTACTCTATTTTCTCCTCTACTGTCTAAGTATAATATACCAGATATAATTTTAAATATCTCTTACATTCACTCTGTCTTATCCTTTTATCCTTTTTATTTAACTGTTTAATTATATTCTATTAAATGTACCTATCTAGTCGACTTTTGTGTTTTCAAGCTAATTTCTAATTTCCGTTTCGCATTTAAATTTTATTACTTTTATTTTACCATTGTCCTCATTCTTTCCTTTTCTGTCAATCCCAGATTCTTAATTATTTCCCCACATTCATATTTACCTATCCTATTTCTCTAATAATTCTAGCTTCGCATCTGTTTTAATTGTATTCCCATTTTACAGTTATTTACTGTTTGATTTGTCCTTTCATACTTCTTCGTTGTGTTGTAGTTTTATTTAACCATAACTTTTATCTTTATTTACTAATCTATTATTTCTTATACTCCCCTGTATCAGTTTTATAATTACCCTAGTTTTATTTTTACTTATTATAATACCTTTATGTTTCTTCTTCCTGATCCCATGTTTTCTTTTTAACTTTATCTTCTCTATTTTTCTTTGTACTCTGTTTTCTATATTCCTTCATTTTCTTCTTTAATTCTTTAATTCCAGTTTTCCTTTATTTTTTTAATTCCTATTTCTTTCTTTTGAATCTGTCTTTCTTTATTAAGTTCGTTTTCTTCAATTTCTATTTCTAGCTCGTCTTTATTTATTTCTTCTCATATATTTCCCCTATCATTTGTTTCATATTCTCAATCATTTCCCCTTTCATTTGTCTCACATTCTCATTCAATTCCCCCCTTTCTATGAGCATTAGATCCTCCACGTGACTCCTTTTTTCTTCTTTTGAGATTCAGCAATATCCTTTCCTACCATTGTTGTTTGTGTTTTATCCTATTTCTTCTGTCCTATCATGTCTTCGTTTTCTTCCATCAACCCAACTTTCCTTCTCTGTACGTACTTAACTTTATTGTATGTTATTACTACTATTACAAATTCACATACATGCAATATTGACACTGTTACTGCCATATCAAATTAAGAAATTTTTAATTACTATTATTCTATTCTCTCTGTATTCTATTAACTTTGATGGTATTTATAATATTTCAAGCTTAATTTTAATACAACACTTTCACACTCATAACAAATTTCCATATCAATATATACTAGTATATATTCTTTATCCACTAGGTCGCAATAAGAAACAAATACATATCTTTGTGAGATTTAAGTGACTATTCTTTTCGTTTCATTAACTTTACAAAAATTAACTCACATATGACTACTCTTAGTATCAATTAAATTATTTTAAAAACATAAAGAATCAATGGTAGATAAAGTATTAATAATCAAATTTTTTTTTCTTATTGGCTATTTAAATTTGCTATTAGTTCGTTAACATTGGTCTACCATTGATTCTGTTATGTCTATTGCTTCTCTAATATCTTTGTTTCATTTGTTACCAGTGAAGAAAAAACTGTAGCTCCACAGCAAGCCTCAGTATCCGCTGTAACTGCGCCAGCAAGGAATATTTACAATGGATCCCAATATAACGACAACCGCTATGAACCTTATTATGCTCTATATGATGACGATGTTGAAATATACAGAGATGGTAAACAAATATTTCACCCAAGTTTATTTAAAAAAAGGCTTAGATCTTTTAAATTATTAGCTTTTGTTTTTCATTTCGATTTCTATATTTTTGCCTTAATTCTTATAGCATCCCTTTTTTCTTTGACAGAATATCCTGCAAATGAAAATAACTACAACACAAACCAAAATCAACATTCTTCGTCGACTGCTTACAGAGGCACGTCTCCAATTAATACAGTAACTTCGGCTTCTGTAAGAAATGAAATACCACGACGTGGCAATACTGTCTACATTGAAAATAATATCAGTCACCAAGATATTTATCAACCGTCAACAGCTGCTGATTATACAGAAAATAGTAAATACGACAATCAAGTAGGTTATCTTCGGAAATTTTATAGTTTTTTTGTTTAATTCATCAATTCAACTTTCAGGCTGATGATCAGAGCTCGTACAAACAAAGCAACAGACAATCTTACAGGTAAGTGATCGATTTTTTATTATGATTTTTTAACAAAATTCATGTAAATAACAACCTTAGGGGAGACAGGAATGAATTGAATGATGTTGAAGAGGTTACCACTAAAAGATCAACTAAAAGAACTACAACCACCACAAGAAAACCTACTAGTACTACAACAATCACAACTACCACCCAACGAACTATTCCTCCAAAAACAAGTTTTCAAACCCCATCGAGGTACTACAAAAACAAAAGCAACAGCATGCCTTTTATTTAGTATTTTTCCTCGTTTATTTAGCTTTGGTCATTTTTGTAGTATCTTTCATTTCATCCTTTTAATTATTTTCCATCCATCTCGGTTTCATTAACCATGCTTAAGTAGTCCAACTGTTGATTAATAAGATGAGATTTCAGCTTTAAACTTCGCTTGCGCTATAGCTTGCTTTTCTGCCTACTAAATATGTTTTTCTACAAGATCATCCTTGAACAACTTATCTAAGTTTTTCTTGGAATAAACTTCTTACGCTTTTATATTGATTTATCCAGTAATATTATTGATATTACCAAGTGTGTTATTGTGTAGATGTGTTAACTGCACGATTAATGAAAATACGTTTATATGTAAAATAACAAACTGATAAACTCATTTTTCATTAAACGAACAGTTTTACTTTAAAATCAGAATTGACAGTTTTTTGAAGAAAATATACTAGTAAACGGTTTTCTATCTTGTGTTTGTTAGTGTGATTTGAAAAAGATCATACAAACATACATCTGTTGCCTCATCTTATTATCGACTGAAACAACCTTAGCGGACTATAAAATATATCGTTTCTTTTAGCGCAAGGCCTGAACCAACAGATCAGAATCAGTCAATTGCAGAAATTTTAAACACAATACCACCAAACTATCAACAAACGTATGACAGATACGAACCTTTCCCTCCTACTTACCTTCAAGTACCTGATGATTCAAACAACAACCAAAACCTTACTTTCGTTATTTTAGATTCTTACCTAGACCAGGAGCGCTCCCCACACCAACAACAGGTCATTATTAAAAACATTTCAGAGTTTAATAATGATAGTTTTGATAATGATCCATTAGTTGATGCTATAATTCCAACTACTAATAGACCCACTTATTATTACATAACAAAAGCTAGCGTTACTACGGCTGTTAACCCTAGCACTACTAGCACAACTACTACTACCACAACTACAACTACAACCACAACAACTCCTGAACCTGAAAATCTTTCAAGGAGTAATTCTGTAAATAAATACCCATCTCTCACTCAAGTTATTGCTCCAACAACTTACTCCCCCTTTAGATTTGTCCTTAAAGCTCCAATTCCAAAACCTGTTGTAATTGAAACTACGCCAATTTCAAATAATTGGAGACTTAACGATACAAACCCTTTAGTTTATCAAAATACTAAAAGTAATAATCTTAAAGCTTACAAAGCTCTGAAAGCTGTACGGAAAATTTTAAATCCAGTTTCTCTTAATCACGAGCTGTCTCCCTCTTTCGAACAAGAATTTACAAAAGAAGAAGAACCGGTTAAGTTAAAATATTTTGCTAACGATGTTAGAATTAATAATGACAAATTCGTACCGACAAATACGAGATTTCTAAATAAAAATCGGAAAACTAGTACTTCTACTGAAACGACATCTATGACAGTTGATGCAGATGTTAAAGCAGTCGAAGATAAAGATAAATTTAGTACTGTAGAGTTACATTCGACAGAGACGTACTCTAACGATGATAAAATCACAAAAAGACCTAGACAAGACCAATTTTCTAAACAAGAACCCAAACCTTTCTCCAAACCATTTGTAACTACTACGACAAAAATAAATTTTCTGCACAATGATTCGAACCCAACTAGAGCATCCCGTGTCAACGCCGCTATTAAATCTCTCATAACTCTTGGAGAGACGCGAGGATCGAATAAAAACAAAGAAGGCGTGATTTTCCCTTCAAAAAACTATTCGAATAAGAGGTATTTATTCCTCCACTAGTAAAGTTGCCAAGTATGAAATGCATGTCATCAAGTTTCTTCTCTTCTTTAATTCACAGCACCTTTTCTGTTAACTATGAATCGCTTAAATACCTAATTATCTTTTTTTACTTGTTACTGCACTTACAGAGGTTGAACACTATTGGGAACTGTTTTTTCTTTCAAAATCTTTAACAGCACGTTCTTTTATTATCTATAAATATCCCTTTAGCATTTTTTTAAAAACTTTATAGTATTTACTTGCTAATTTTAAATGAAGAAACTAGTGTGTTAATAAAGCCTAGATCGTCAATAATGTTTTTGTTATCAAAAATATCTTCAGCTTATGTAAACGATGCCACAGGGGCCATGTGTACTATACCAACTGTAGCATTGGAGGTGCTATTAAACTTCACGCCACTGCACATCTTCGTACAAGGACCTGGAAAAAGAGACCTCCCATGCAGAGTGTTCAAGAGAAATAATAATCAGCAAGTATCAGGCAAAACTATTGCCATCTACTCTGATTTCCAAGCAGCTTTAAAAGCAATTCTGTCAGAAGGAATCAAATCACGTTTGGTGAAAGACTACCTTGAAGACCAGACGAATTAGCCCGAGAAGGGTTAGATAAGGCATTGACAGGTCCCGAACCTTTCTGTAGAGTTGTTAAAGCATAGTGCAAGACATCTGAAGAATCCGAAGAATGATGAAAACATTTATCCAGGATTGAGACAGGCCAAAAGTTCAATAAGAAACCTTCGGCTAAGTTCACCAAAGACCTACTGGATCAAAAATGACAAACCTTTAGAATAGCAATAGGTCCCCTTACCGTATACTGTCGCCTGAGAAGGCACATGTGTGTCATCAATCCAACAAAAGAAGCAACATTGTTCCGGTTCTGTGAAGAAGAAGAGTAAACATTAATCCAAATCATGTGCCAGTGTGATGTTTCTAACACTAGGCCAAGAAAAGCCAGAAGCATGCAGGAACCACTGTCAAAAACACTTAATCTAATAAAAAATAACAAACTAGACGACACACTCTAAAAAAATGGAGTCTCACAATGGAGCTCAAAAGGATGAGGTGGACAACGCCTTTCAAATCTAATCTATGTAAAAGAAATATTATAGAAATGAGAATTAAGATCGATAATTAATGGAGAAGACGGTTAAATCAATAAATAAAAAATATTTATTAATTTATTAACCTTCAAAAATTAAAACCTGATGTGCCTCAAGGAACTATGGTATGCCCTTTCCTCTATTTGCTATTCACTAATGATAAAAATAAGTCATTTCAGGGCGAGATTTGAAAATCTACTGTTGCCCTAGATCTCACTTTTAGCCTTAAGTGCGTGCAACTGTGTTGAACTAGTTTAACTAGTTTAACAACTTCGAAAAAGTTTAAAAGTACTATCGTACTGCTGATACTGAACAAAAATCAGACTGAATCTACGCTTTATCAACACACCATGTAAAACGTTTCTCAAAGGATAACAGTATGAGTATTGATAGAATCCAGTTGGCTGATCAATAGATACTAGTAAACGTGCAATACATAAAGTAGTACATTAACAGATATGTGCATTGAATTAGTATTTACAGGGTAGTTGAATAAAATATTTATTTAAGAAATCACAAATTAACTCGTACAAACGAAACTAACACACGTAATTCACAATTTTAATAATGACATTTATAGGATTTTGTACAAGGTGTTGCGGGAGTACCTAAAGGAAATTATATTATTTTGAAATAATTCAAATTGAAATATTTCTCGTTACCCTCAAGGCACCTTGTACTATTAGCTCAATATTATTGAAGGGAAGCAAATGTTTAAATAAAGAAATTCACTCAATAGAAATGTATATTTAAAATATCGTTGGGCAGCAGAGCAGCAGTCTGAAGAAACCATATATTCTTATTAACAAGATAATTTCAAAATACCCAAGGCCCATCCCAAGACTTTGCGGAATCCTTTATTTATCCTGTATCACTACATTGACACCCACACTAAGTGCCAAAAAAATTCAATTCATTCCTAAAATTTAAAGTGTTTCTTTAATTATTTTGCTTAAAATGTGCGCGTTACAGATTGAAATTTACCAAAAATTGTTTTATTTTTCAACTAAATATGGCTGGAAGCGTTTGCCTTCTTTCATTAATATTGGATTTTAAAGGTATTTAACAATTAATCGGAAACATATTTTTTTTTGTTGCATGAAAATTATGACTGATGGGAGATTTAACACATACTGGGTATTTGTACATAAAAAAATACAGAAAGTATTTGACAACGGATTGTTATTTTTAGAACACCATCAAGGGGTCGTGGCTCAGTACAATACTCTGGTGCAGGTGACCAAATAACAAATAACGAAGTAATTGTCACTAACAATAGGGGTACACCACCTACGTGAGTAACTTATCTTTTTGTACACACAAATTACACAGAATCCATTTACCTGTTTTTTATCTGTTTTTTAAAATATTTATTAAATTACTAATTTGTCTATAGTCGGTCTAGACCAACCCTAAAACCGTCTACTTCGATCGTTTCAAAAGCTCAAGAATTCGTAGATGTCTATAGGTATCCTCCCAGACGTCCTGATGCAATTTATCCACAGCCTCAAGTTGATAAAACCGCAGCTAAATGTCGCAAAGATGTTTGTTTGCTTCCAGATTGCAGCTGTGGTGGCAAAGAAATCCCTGGTAAGTTCTTCAACAGAAAAGCTCAGAACTCACACTTTTTATATTGATTTTTGGGTACTGTCAGAAATGTTTAGATCATTAAAGGCAACTTTCTTATGGACCCCAAGTTTGCAACTCTACAGGATGAGGTGTTAGAAGGAGTCAAAAGTAAGGAGGGCTCAATTAATATTTTTCTATACAGGGTGATTCATAACTATTGGGACATAGGCTAAGGGCAGGTTATTTTGACGAAAATATGGCGATAGGACGAAATATACCTCAATAAAATATTGCTGTGGAACAGGAACAACTTTAAAACTTTATTTTTAGGAATTTTTCAATAGTAGGTTTTTTTTGTAAGAAAACTTTCGATATGGCGTGATATGAATGCCTTGAAACAATTATTGTTTTATTTGTAACATAGCTTCAGTTTATTTTTTAATTGAAGATTTTTTATAATAATTTATGTAATAAAACTTTTTTATATTTATTTATAATTTAGTGGGAAATTTATTTAGTAATTAATAAACAAAAAAGTAATCAGAAGTCATGAAAATGCAACTTATTTCAGCAGCTGATATTCCTAATTTTTTGATTGCCGTGTATGATATTTATTTTACAAAGGGAAAGTAAGCATAAACTAACTATATATAAGAATAACACATGACATAAGTTTCATGAAAAAAACATGAATTACTTAAGAGTGATAGAGATATATAAAAATTAATTCTGCATTCCATACTTTTGACTCTTAACAGTTCATTCTGTCTGTAGAGCTATAAACTTACCTTTAATGACCTGAAAAATGACAGATAAATTTAAACAAATTCTGACAGTGCCCAAAAACAATAAAAAAAGTGCGGGGTCCTTTAGATGTTTTAAGAATTTCAGATATTTAAAAAACTAAAATCTAGCAGGTTGAGTAAAAATGCTGCTGGTCTCGCAAGGTGTCTGAGGTTGTTGGGTTGTACATGATGGATAAATGACCTCTCTTAGATGCTCTTTTAGACGTTTCTTAAAAAATAAGTTCTAGTATCTAATTTCTGGTATAATTTTATTATACTCTTTGGATGCTATATAAGAAAAGGATCTTTTAAAAAATAATGCTGTTTGGTGTTTAGTTATGACTAAGGTTTATCCGTTGCGCAAAGTAGTTCCATATATTTGAATTCATTATTAACTTTTTTAATGGGAACTTCTCACACACAGGTATTTGAGTATTTTGTCTTAAGATAAATTCTTTATAAAATCAGTAAAAGCATAGCTGTTTTAGTGATTTTATGAAGCCAGAGGAGTAATAAGACTTGAGCTGCCTTAAAGATCCAAAAGTTTAAAACCTAAATGAGTTTAAATTAAAATAATTATTGTATTGTTAAAATGTAAGTAAAGTAATTTAAACAGTCCCTATATTTTTAATTTTAATTTAACGAGATTATAAAATTGAAACTGCATTCGAATTTAGAGGTAATAAAATCGAAAATAGAGGTTAAAGTTGACTTTTAGCATCCAAGTGTACAAGTTCTGTTCTAATTAACTAGGAAACATTCCGGTAGAAGAGACTCCGCAGATAGTTCTTATCACATTTGACGACGCAGTTAACGATCTAAATAAACAGTATTACATGGACATATTCGAAAATGACCGCAAGAATCCAAATGGATGTCCGATAACTGCCACTTTCTACGTATCGCACGAATGGACCGATTACAGCCAAGTTCAGAACCTCTATGCGGATGGTCACGAGATGGCGTCCCACACAGTTTCGTAAGTGGCCCAATTTGGCCAAGGGGCTGGACCTGATTTCATTCACTCACCTTCCTCTATGTTTCTAAATTCTCAAGCTTTGTTTTTCTTGCCATTATTTTTATTTAACTTATTTCTTTTCTATGCTACTAACAAATAGGTGACCTTCCTGTGGAGCAAGTGCCTCAAATTGTCTTATTAACCTTCGACGATTCAGTTAATGATTTAAACAAAGGTCTGTACCAGGATTTGTTCGAAAAAGGCAGAGCCAATCCCAACGGATGTCCAATAGCTGCCACTTTCTACGTATCCCACGAATGGACTGATTACAGTCAAGTCCAGAATTTATATGCAGATGGTCACGAACTTGCTTCTCACACAGTATCGTAAGTCCTTTCATGATTTCTGCACGTACAAATCAATAATTCGCACTCTTAATCTTTTCTGCAAAGGCTTAATGTGTAAATCTTTTGTTTTTCATGTGCTTGCTCAAATAATCATTATAATAATATCCTTCTACCAAATACTAACACACAATTTATACAGGCACAGCTTTGGAGAGCAATTCTCGCAGAAGAAGTGGACGCGCGAAGTTGCTGGACAAAGAGAAATCCTCGCTGCCTATGGTGGCGTACATCTTGAAGATGTCAGAGGAATGAGAGCTCCTTTCTTATCGGTAAGTTCCTTTTTTATTGAAGCACTTAACCTTGTAGTCTTCTCGGCATTATTTCGTAAAGAGTATTGCTAAAATCTTTAGATCAGAATAATTTTGTTTATTCTCTTTGCAAGGTTGGTGGTAACAAGATGTTCAAAATGTTGTACGACTCCAACTTTACCTACGACTCTTCTATGCCTATTTATGAGAATAAACCACCAAGCTGGCCTTATACTTTGGACTACAAACTGTTTCATGATTGCATGATACCTCCTTGCCCAACCAGATCATATCCTGGTGTATGGGAAGTGCCTATGGTAATGTGGCAAGACTTGAACGGAGGAAGATGCTCCATGGGCGATGCTTGCAGCAATCCACCTGATGCAGATGGAGTATATAAAATGTTATTAAAGAACTTTATGAGACATTATACCACTAATAGGTTAGTTTTTTTGTTAAATTAACTAACGAGCAAATCTTGATAAATTAAAACGTTTTAGGGCACCATTCGGTTTGTTCTATCATGCTGCTTGGTTCACCCAACCGCATCACAAAGAAGGTTTTATCAACTTTATCGACACTATCCTAGCTAAAAACGATGTATGGCTCCTAACAAATTGGCAAGCTATTCAATGGGTTAGAGATCCTACACCGACTTCCAGACTTGGTTCATTCCAACCTTTCCAATGTAACTATTCGGTAAGCTTTATCATCTTAGTCATTTAAAAATCAATTAAATTAAATACTTAGCTTTATATATCTGAATTTATTAATTTCTTTCTTCATCTAGGATCGTCCAAAGAGATGCAACAATCCTAAAGTGTGCAACTTGTGGCATAAATCTGGTGTTCGATACATGAGGACCTGTCAACCTTGTCCAGACATCTATCCATGGACTGGAAACACTGGAATTAGAAGTAGCAAAATCGACAACGATATTGGAGATTAAACTAGTTAATTATTTGTCAATTCTCCTTTTTTTAGCCATCAAATTGTTGGTGTTTCGTTAGAATAATCGCGAAAAACAAATCGTGAAAAACAAAATACCATGCGTAAAATCGATTGTATTACAGAATGCGACATTTTTAAGTTGGTGTCAACTCTGGGGTATGGTCACATTCTAAACACATCGATGTTACCTGCCATATAAAATAGTTAGCGTTATATATTATTTTCAACTTCAATAATCAAATGCTTATGGCTTTCATTTAATTGCCCGGAATCAAAATAATGTAAAAAAAAGTTTGATGTTATTATTTAATATTTTCGGGGAAGAATTGTTTTAAATTTTTTTCTCGGGTAGATAAAATATTAAATGATTCCATTAAATCCATGTTCAGACATTAAGGGTGATCAATAGCCCAGAAGTTTCTCGCTATTCGTTATTCTTAATCGTTTTTGTGGAAGTATTTAATTTATGACGACTAGAGGGATCTCCAAAAACAACACGAAAACTACTCGAACAATTTTGTGTCTAGCTAAATAATAAAAATACTGAAATTGGTGAAACATGAAGTTCTTTGTATGTATGTGATTCAGTAGGTACATACTTATAATAATATTTATAAAAATTACGATGTTGTTCAGGTGTCAAGAACAAACCGATCTTCATACCTAACCAACATCTCTATATATAATTAGTTGTAAATATAAAATAATTAATATTGTATTGGTTTGAATTTGAGACAAACATTCAAAATTGTTAAGATAATTAAAGAAAAAACACGCGTATTACAATAGTAGGTAATGATAATTATAATATTAAATATAGCAATATAATTCGAAATTGTATTTAAATACTTTTTTTAATTTATTGTCTTTCCAAACAGCAGTGGTTGGTAAATATCAACAAAATAAAATTAGAAAAATTTATGTTTTTTTTTTTATGTCCACAATGTTAACCTTTAATCCCTTTTTCTCCGCCGTAGTCTTAAAGGCGGCTCTCCGAACAATTAGCTTGATATCGTTTTTCATGAAGTCATTGGAAAGGTTATGCGAAAGGTACATAAAGGATGTGTTGATTACAACAACACCACTAAATTTAAATCAAAATGACTACATCCCAGGCAGATCTACTGATTTAGTCCTTCACCTAGTTGCTGGTCGGATAGAGAGATCGCTGGACAAAGAGTCCGCCTTGGGTGTTTTCATAAACATAAAAGGTGCTTTTGACAAAACCACCTTCCCAAAGATAATATACTCACTAACCAACAGAAATGTTCCACAGATGGTTAGTAGATGGATACATAACATTTTTTCAAAGCGAGCAGTAAACATAAGTGCAGAAGATGTGAATATAAGAGGCTTGATTGCGAGGAGATGTCCACCTCTACTGTGGAACTTGATCCTCAACACCCTCATCAGCCGCCTCAATAATGACAGCAAGTTAACATGGAACTGATGCTTAAAAAATAGAGTCAAAAGAGCATAGATTACTTATGTACAATGCCTGCGAACCCTGGGTCGCACCTGGGGTTTCTCCTCCAAAGTCGTCACATGAATTTACACGACCTATGCTAACAAACGGTGCAGTTGCATGGATACCGAAAACCCAAAAATTAACAGCTATCCGCAAACTAGAAGAAATTCAAATAACAGCTGTCTCAACATAACAGGAGCCATGAAAAAAAACACAACAACCAGAGCCATGTAAGTCATTATTACCCTCACTTCCCTCGATATTGACATCAAGGAGGTTGCTCTGATGACAATCATGTGGTCAACTTAAGATGGATCAAAGGTCCCGCCATATCGAAAGGTAACCGTATTACTGATTCACTAGCCAAGAAGGCAGCCAACCAAATACTATTTGGACCTGGCAAATCTATTGGACTGACAACATCGGTAGTGACAGACCTAATTAAAGACCATTCCCTTGTGAAATTCAAGGAAAGATGGGATGAAACAAGAAACTGAAAAGTTACCAGAGACCTTTTAAGTTATCCTGAAAACAAATACTTGACTAAGACTAGACAGAATATGTGCCTGCTCACAGGAATTCATATAATGGTGCAGTCAGAATACTCACTCTGCCCGACTTAATAGATTTGTATTCGGCGAGTATCAGAGATATAAGAGAAGCACCTCTTGACGACGTTGCCAACTACATTAAAACTGTAGGCTGGCTTACGAGCTAGGAGATACCTATCATCTGAGGAGGATGAACAATGGGCCTACTGAGGCCTAAGTGCCTTGGGGGTAAACGTTACAAATACATAACTCTATTTCTCCTTGGAAAAGTTCGCCACTGATTTTCAGGCGAAAATATTCGTCATTTCGATAATCTTTTGAGAAGATACTCCAAACAGTCTCGAGGGACCGGACTGTCTCAACGCTGTCCCTTTTAGAACAAAGGAATCTTGTAGCTGGCATAGCGACATTGCAGAAAATGAAGCTGATAAGATTGCCAAAACTGACTTGAGCAACCCTTTTAGAGGGCCATTAACTGTCATATCTTCCATCAGAGACAAAATGGTGGTTGGGCGCGAAAATAGTAAACCCTCAGATGTGCAAAAACAAAATGGATTACAATATCCGTATGACGATCATTGGAAAAATTGATTATAAAACCGGTAATAGAACTAAATAGAAATAGAAGCAAGTACTTGAGTGACAAATCGTTAGGATAACAGTAGGTATTCTTACCCGATACTGTCGCCTAGCTTTTGCTGAAAAAAAAACATGCTTATGTCTAAAATAGAGATATTTAATAGGATTTCTAGCCTTCCTAACTTTAATACCTTACCAGTCAGCCGCTTGGGGATATCTCTCGTTGTATGCCTATTCACATCACACAGCGCACACGGCAACGTTGATATTATTCTAATGCTAACTCTCTGTAGTTTTCATTTTTACATTAGCAAAGCATATTGGAAAGTGTTCAATAGCAGACACTGTATAAAAATAAACCAAACCTAAGTAGATAATTATTATTTTCTCATTTTACTGCATTTATTACAACAGTAGTGGATATATGATACATTTGTTAAAATAGCTGCTGTAATAATTGGAATATGTTCTGCAAATAAATACGACGCCACTGACAGTTCGGCAATTTCCGGAAATTTAGTCGCTAAGGTCACACCGGTAGTATGTGAACCATAGATAAAATAATAATTAATTTATCTATGACGTGAGCATAATCTCTTAAAAGGAAACTAGAGATTAGATCAGAACCTGTTGTCAATTTGTTTATCATTCTGCGAAGAGTTAATATAAGTAGGCATTAATTTAATCACATTTAATTGAACTTTATTGACAATAAATATATTATTTTAGTCTTGAGATTTTATTGCCTATGCACATTGATCCTGTAAGGGATCATATCAGAACTTCTCATCTTTACTTAAAAAATCTGGTATTAATGGATCAACTTCGTTGGTTTTCTGACTAGATTTCGTATTTTCCTCTTTGGCCCAAAGCTGAAGCAGCTCTACAACAGTCATATGTCCAAACGCACTGGCCTCTTCTAAAGGAGTCCGGCCCCAACGATCTCTAACATCGTAAGGGACGTGGCAATAGTTTAGAAGAAATTCAACGCAATGCAGATGCCCTTCAGCTGCAGCCAGGTGAAGAGCCGTGCGACCATCGTAGTCCGACTGGGTCATGTCCATGCCAGCTAGTTTGTGTCTAATAATAGAAATATTTGTCATATACAAAAGTAAAAAGAAATAAATTTAGTATGTGCATCTTACCTTCTTAGACTAGGTAAATCGCCAGAAGCTGCTGAGAAAAGCAAATTAACTATATTTAGGCCTTTGGTTTCGAATTTGTGCTTCCTTGGATCGGATTTGTCCGAAGCGTGCCTTAAATTGTCGTATCTATGGAAATTGAATTTATCTACTAATTCCTGTAACAATAAAAATATTAATTTAAAACGGCTAAGTGTAAAGTTTTAATTTTTGTATACCTCACAAAATTGTACTCCTCTACAACTATTTCCAAGCGAGTCTAAAGCTGGAGAGTATAAACACATACCCATTACATTTGGTACAACAACCAACATGGCTCCACTTACACCAGATTTTGCTGGTAATCCAACCTAAAATATTATGGATATATGTATGAGGAAGTTTTGTATAAAAATACGAATTTTTTAAAAAATAAACAGTATGGTAGTTTACCTTAAAAGCAAATTGTCCAGAGTAGTCATACATGCCACAACTATGCATTAACGACAACACATCCCTTACACTTTCTGGTTTCAGAACTTTTTCTTCGGAAAGCGGACAAATACCACCGTTTGCTAAAGTGGCAGCCATTACTGCAACTAAATCACAATTAACTTCCAAAGAACAACACTAAAATAAATATTTCAAATAGTTTAGTATTTTTTTATATCAAACCGAGTTCAAATTTTTACCTGAAAATAAAAGTCCATACATTCTCTGAATTTACTGTTTTCTGGGAAACATTTGTGCTCCCTCATGTAAAAACCTAGAGCATAGTTTCTATCTGCACATTCTCGTTCAGACAGAAATACTGCATTGTTAAAACCTATATCTTCTCTTCCAGCCAATCGCTACAAAACGTGCCTTAATTATTCCTATTCCTGCTCAAAATAAAGTCACTCTATCAATAATATGAACTTACCTCAAAGAAATTCATAGTAAAGTCAAATTTCTCAGCTGAACTCATTTCTGGGGAATACATTGTCTTTAACAATGAGCAAATAATTATAGCCCCAGCATTAATCATTGGATTATGAGGCTTTTCTAAAAAAAACATCCAAAAATATTCAACTAAATAAAAAGTCAAAAATTATGCATATTTATGTTATGTATGTATCTATGTATGGGGTTTTAATACACTTCTGCCTAAAAGATCTATTGTGCCCCTTCTATCGCTAAGGCAGCAAGGGAATAGTCTGGATGATGTCTACAACGACCCTTCCAATTCTAACTTCGCAAGGAAATGTAGGATTTTTTATTTCGTCCCGAGGCATCAAGTATTGTAGGTACTGGAACTAACTAATCGACTTCCGTCCAATTACTCCATTCTAGATCATTATATATCTTGCTCTTTTTGTCTCATTATTGTCCTCTTAAAAGTATAGGTGTGGGCTGCATATTTGAATGTGTTTATCTTTATTAGAAGTGGCTCAAAAACCTCTTCTGTAATTTCTATGCACACTAATCTTATACAGAGGTGTAATACTTATCATACCACAGAATGCATATTGGGTCGGTCTTTAATGATCGTAAAGACCTTTTCCCTCGCCTTTTCCTTTGTATATAACATTTTTAGAGTTCGTCGAAACCTGAAAACTCGACACAACACCGAATAATACATACTGTTATGATCCAAAATGAGTTCATTGAAATTTCGACCGCTGGGTTCTTGTCCAACGTACTGATGAACGACATCGTTACCAAGTAGATCTAAAGCTATACCATAAGACAAGGGTTTGCTGCAAGATTGGATTGTGAACGGTATATTAACGTCTCCTATTGAATATCTCTGCCCGTCTATTGTTACAATACTGACTCCCCAATAATTTGGATTCATTCGTTTCAGTTGTGGAATGTACGATGCTACCTAAAAGATATTTTGAATCGTTCCTAGTTGGAAAAACTTGTAGGTATGCATACATAAAAGAAAGCTGACACAACTACACTACTACACAAAAACTAAAACTAGAACTGATGAATAGGTTTTCTAAAAGCTGAAAATGTCAAGGTCCACAAAAGAGTTGTTTAATTTCATTCAAAACAAATGTGTTTTAGAAATAATGATAAGGGAGGTAAAATACATTCTAAAAAATGTTTTTTTTGCGACAACTGTTCCTGGCCATTATCAATTAATAATAAAACAATATATTTTGTTTCAATGTATCATTATCAATGCTAAAAATATACTTAAAAATATAAAAAAAAACTAATAGTTATAAATAATGAGGTAAACAATTAAAATTATTTATTTAAAAATTTAAATTCCACGCATAATTATTAAAGTAGGTATACGTTAAAAATAAACGTCATGGTCCTATCCACGTCCTATGACCCAATAAGCTTATCCTCCTTGTTAAAAACGTTAAAAAAATCGATGAGGATGGGTCTGGCGATATTGAACTAAATCCTCTCTATCTTTACCAATAAGCGTAACAACCAGAAAAAAAAAATCAACGGATCCTGCATTTAATAATGATCTAAACGTATTTTATTAATGTTTACTTTTTCCTTCATATATTCAATAAAACTGCCTAAATTTAACTAGACAGCTAGGTTAATAAGAAATGTAAAACAAAATTTGTGAAAATGTTTATTAAGGCAAACATATTTATTATACTTACTATGTGAAAAATATTCGTAAAAAAACAGTCAAGACTTAATAATTGTTGAAATCATTTTTTAATGAAAGTGATTTATGGTATATTAATATTATCAGTGGGGGATATAATATAATAAAATATTTGACAACGCCAATGACTCATAAATAAGTTATATAACAAAGCCAAGGTAACTATTATATAAATTGTTCATGACAGAAATACTCATATCTACAATATAGTAGTAATAATTTTAATCATTCAGTTTACTAACCCATGAAAAAGCGTTACAATATTCCTATAACAAAATACATTTTTTTTTAATAGCGAGTATTAGGTGTGTGTTTTTGAAACCAAAAGGTTAAGGTAAAAATAGCTACGCTAGGTCAGTTAAAAATGACATGGGTCTATTTAAAGCTATTCTTAATTTTTTGACATTTAAGAAACACAATAACAAGTATTTATTTCTTACGTATTTATTGTAAATTGCTGAAAAATCCCTTACCGTCCCATTAGTATTTTCCTTACATTTCCAATAAATCAGTTCAATATCTTTGCTAAACTCTTGAAATTCTGGAATTATGAACTGGTGTCTAAAAGCCATAGACAGAAGTCCAATATTTGGTTGTACTATACTGAAATTAAAATAATTATATAAAATACTACCATTTGATATTTACAAATAAAAATAATTCTACTTGTTTGATCTATCAGAAATACGTTTACCATTCACAAAATCCACTTAACATGTTTAGTTAACATTGTTAGCACAATCTATTTTAAATTTTCCTGGTGTATGTTAATTATCAAACCAAAATTGGTAAAAAAATATTCTATTTAAAAGTAGGTAAAAAGTCTTAGGAAATTAATGAACTAATATAACCATTTTCAGTCTAAATTGGGTGGATATCTTCTTTACTAGAATATACAGCAAACTTCTTGTTTTATGCCTGTAAAAGCTTTGAAAGGTTTCTTGACAGTTCCTGTTCTCTTATAGATCATTCCAGAATTCGCCATACATTACACTTATTATTATGTGCAATTATTTTGTAAAGATGTGTCCCTCTGAGGGCCAGATTTTTAATGAAAGTTTGAACTAAGTTCAACAAATGAACTGAGTTTAATTGAAAGATGGGTGTTTAAACTAAGATCAATGTTTTGACACTGACATATTGTAAATATATTTCACAATTTTTGTTCATTTTATGTTCAAAGTAATAAGTAAAGACGATAGTGAAATTGCTACCTATTTAATGCATATTAATAGTACCATGTACCCAAGAGAATATGCAAGTTTGTCGTTTGTCTAAGAAAAAGGCTAACAGAATAATTAACAAAATAGAAGGAGGACTTATAGATAATACCATTTATAATAACATATATTTTATTTTCTAGAAATAATGCTTTAACTCCTAAAGTCATAATTCTGTTTAATGTACCATTTTTTGCATTGGTATCCTTCTTAATTACCACCAACAAGTAGAGCAATTAAAATGTACCAACAATTTTTCTTCGTTGCTCGAAAAATTGGCGATCCGTCAATTTTTTCTATTTCGTACAATTTTTCATCTTAACTGTCAATGAATATGTTTTTAAAAACGTCAAACTGACAGAGCATTCAGTTTTGTCAGAAGTGAATTGTGATACTAACATGATTGAAAAACGCTACTGATGGTAATCTCAGTTCTATATTTGATCCAAGTTCAGGTGAACGAAAGTTTAAACTGTGATTGAAAAACTGGCTCTAAATGTTCTTATATCTTGGTATAGTTATTTTCTATGTATCTATAAGTTTGGCACAAATTATTTCAAATGCTTTCTTTTGTCATAAGCATCCGATTCTTGCAAGGTAAACTCATATATGTCAGAATGACTTAAAACGCAAGGGTGGTTCGAGGGATGGGGGGGAGGGGGGGGGGCATAGGACCAGGACTACCAGATTAAAATTTTTACAAACTATTAGCCTTTTATTAAAAAAATATGCAAAAAAGGGAATTATTGGCAAGGGCCACGTCTGAAAATTAGGGGTGAATAACTAATATTCACCTTAATAGTTATTATGTTCATATATAACCTGTTTTTATCATTGTAAATTACAATTAAAAGGTATAAAAATTATATTTTATCTATTCCAAATCTTTAAAAGCATATCTTATACAGGGTGTACCAATAAAAACTCCCAGGCCGGATATTTTGGTAAGTAATAGAGATATTTTAATTCTGTAAAAGCCAGTTCATAGAGCGCTAAGGGAGCTTCAGCTTTAGATATAAATTAATTTTAAATATGTCAATATTTAGATGGCGCTGCGCTCAATATATTTTTTTCGATGGGAGGATCTTTCTTATACAACGCATCTTGTAAAAAATGCATTTTAAAGCAGATTTTGTTTAATAAACTAATTCGATAAATCTAAGCATTTTTGATATGGGGTCACTCAAAATAGTTTCATTCTGTTTTTCGGCAATAATCATTGGCTTTTTAGAAAAGGCTAAATAAAGTCGATTTATATTCTCAATTGAACACATTTTTACAATACAGACATCTGTCAACTTGTACTTCTCCAACTCCTTAATTTTAAATAAGGAATGTACATCTCTGAAAAGGTAATTTTATAAGGAAGTCAGAAATATAACTGTTTATTGCGATATTTTTAATTTTAACGCCCTCTATCAGGATACAACCCCTGTAATGTATTATAAAGTGTGACTCTTCATTTGAAAGCTAATTTAATTATTAATTCAATGCACCACATAACATTAATATAAATATTTCCAAAATAAAGTTAGCAATAATGTTTAAAATAATGCATGACCCTTTTTTTAAACTATTGCAAGTGCAATATGGAGGATATTTATATTAATGTTATGTAGTGCATTAAATTAGTAATTAAATTTGCTTTTAAATAAGGTGTCACACTTTATATTACGTACAGTTTCTTTATCCCGATAGAGGGCGGTACAATTAAAAGAACTGCTATTAACAGTCATATTTGTAAATTCCCTATAAAATTACATTTTTAATGATATTCTACACATAATACACACAATAAAACGTAGTAGTTTTTTATTCCGCTAGAGGGCGATAAAATTTAAGTAACGCAATATACAGAAATATTTCTGAATTCTCCATTAAATTACCTTTTCAATGATGTGCCATACATGGTACATTACCTATTTAATATGAAGGTGTTGGAGAAGTGCAGGGGAGGGGGTTGACTTGACACATGACAGATATCTGTATTGTAAAAATGTGTTTAATTTGGAATAAAAATCGACCTGTTTTAGCATTTTCTTAAAATCTAATGCCTAATGCTGAAAACAGGATGAAACTATTTTGAGTGACCCACTGTGTATATCAAAAATGGCTAGATTTATGGAATTAGTTTATAAAACAAAATTTGCTTAAAAATGTATTTTTTACAAGATGCGTTACATAAGAAAGATCCTCTTATCGAAAAAAATATATTGAGCGCAGCGCCATCTACATATTGACCTATTTAAAATTAATTTATATCTAAAACTGGAGCTCCGTTAGCGTTCTATAAACTGGCTTTTACAGAATTAAAATATCTCTATTACTTACCAAAATATCCGGCCTGGGAGTTTTTATTGGTACACCCTGTATACATAATGTGACCCATTTCCGATCAATCGGGTCATGCTCTGATCCTTTGAGTCCCTCTGCCTTGTTTGGGCCTCGTTACGACCTCACTTGTCCTTAAAACCAGGAATATTTTATGAAGGGGATAAGCCCCCTTTAGGCGTCCCTAGGGTCACAGATAGCCGGTATGAATCATTCAGTCGGAAATGTACTAGAAGTAAATTCGAGAAACTGCCAGAGAAGCATGTCTAATAAATGGTGAAAATAATCTAGTGCAGCGGTCTCCAAACCACAGTTATTCTTTAAACTGTGTCCAAATTACGGCCCGCGGGCCATATCCGGCCCGCCAGTGTCATCAATCCGGCCCGCGAGAGCTAATGGCTTATTGTTGCTGTGATAGGTTGAATAAAAAAAAACAGAATGATAACTCTGATTTATTTACTTGCTAGATATAGCTTAATGACAAGTATAATACGTAGAAAATTTCTCCTTGCAATCTCAAATTCAGTTCGTTCATGTTTTGTCAAATCGACAAACTTCCACAGCCATTCGCTATGTTGCAATTCGGTAATAGGGCGATGCTTTTCATTCAAAAAAATTTAGATCACTCTTCGAAGTTCAAAAAAGCGCTGAAGGACTTTTCTGCAACTAAGCCAGCGTACGGCAGTATGATATGGTAAGTCATTTTCTGCCACCTCTTCAATAAACTCGCGGAACTGTCGGTGATTCAGCCCAAGTGGATCTGATGAAATTAACAACTGATATGACTTATTTTAGAACTTCAGACATATCCAAACATTTTCCGTACAAAGACTGTTGTACTGTTGCTGAATGATACAAAGTAAGACTAATGGTTTTGAACCACCATCATTTTCTACCGTCTTTGAAACAAGTACAACCACTCCTTTATTTTTACCACATAGATTTTGCTTCCATCAGTTGTAATAGATTTCAAGTTTTTCCATCGAAGATTCTTTTTATTATTGGCATTTTCAACTCCCTTAAAAATATCTTCCCCAGTAGTCGTGCCATGAATACTATTAATATCGAGAAGTTGTTCATACACTTCATAGCTTTTATCTGCTCCTCAAATAAAAATCAATACCTGACACATCCGTTGATTCGTCCAAGGCCAGAGAAAACCACTCAAGATGTTCATTTTTGTCAGAAAGTTGAGATGATACATTTTCTGCGATGTCTTGTACACTCCGAGCAACGGTATTTGCTGACAAACTGACAGTTTTAAATAAATTTACCTTTTCGGGGCACATTTCATCGGCTACTGCAATTGCGCATTCTTTGATCTTTTCTCCATTGGTGAATGGTTTTCCACGTTTTGCGATTTCAAGAGCCACACAAAAGCTGGTACGAGTTGGAGCATCTTGTTCAATATTGACTTTCGTAAACAAAGATTGCTGCGATTTCAATCCGTGCTTCAAAGCTTCAAATTTTTCTGTCCGCCTGCTTCCTGTATAGTTTGAGTAATTTTTTAAATGTTTCGTTTCATAATGACGTTTAATGTTATATTGTTTGAGAACGGCTATGGTTTCATTGTAGATCAAACATAGCGCCTTATTACTGGACTCAATCACGAAATATTAAAAGTTCCATTGATCTTTGAATGTTCTGTATTCGCTGTCTATTTTTCGCTTCTTTTCCATACTTGTAAATCACACACAAAGCAACAAGTCAAATTATAATACTGTCGAAGATGTCTTTTAAATACGGTTACCCACTAATTTATTTCACAAAAGACAGTTGCACTTCCTTCGTCTTCCCTAGACAGACTGACTCGCGGTCGCACCGCTAGCTAGCCTTTTATACTCCAATTACTGCCATCTCAAAGTGAGTGGAATACACCAGAACTTTCTCGAACCACTGAGGTTATTCACGAATGTTTAATTGTTACTGCGATTCCGAAAGTACTACTAGCATCATCTGTTAGCGATAGAGGGTACTACCACTACTTTTGACCACTCTGATTTGGCCAAGTGTCGCGGTCGTAACAATACACAATCGTAATTCAACTAGCGAATTTAGCAAGCGTATACTCGCTCAGGGCGAGTTCTGGGCGACTAGTCTAAAAATTATAGATAATTGCAGACTGTTTTGGCCCTTGGAATTTACTGGAGTAATCAGTATAGCTCTAAGGCTGGAAAGTTTGGAGACCCCTGATCTAGCGCATACACCAATTATTTATATATAAATAGGCTGTGTTGCACAGGAAGTCAGTCAGTCGAAGTAGAGTCATAGCAATGAGAACATCGATAAAGTAAATGTGATATAAATTAGTATAAGTAAATGTGTTGAATAAATTAGAAATATAAATAGTACTTAAGTAATAAATATAGTAATTAGTACATAAACATAAATTATACATAAACTGTTTTAAATAAATAAACAATCGTTACAATATAATATATTTTCAATTTTTTAGCTGTAAGGTAGGTATTTATATTTTCTCCGATAAAATTGTCAAATTATATTTATTTAGAACCATATATGTAATGTTGTCATTACTAACGTCATTGAAAGTTGGGAAGTGTCACATTACACACCTCTATTTCCCGCCCTCACTTCCCATCGCTCTAGGTACGTACTTAATCTGATTTTTTTAAAGGTGTAAATTAAATTATTTATTATACATATTTAGCATCTCCAAACCGTAGTTGTCACCTGGTGTTACCTACTAAGAAAACAAAGTTTGCAATCAGGAATTAAAATTTAATCATAATGAAAATACCTATTTGGTTAAAAAAAGTGTTTTTTTTAGTAAGTATATTATCAATTAGGGCAAACATAAAGCATACAAAATTGTTTATTTGACCAAATATTAATGATAATAAATGATAAATAAATCTAATTTAAGATTTAATGCTAAAAATGACAGTACAATATTAAGCTTAGGTATATTTTAAGGACGTCGCCAATGGGGAACTTTCAAAACTAATTTAAAAGCCAAATCTATTAATAACATTTAAGTGTGACTCAAAGTGATCACACAAAAATTAATCGATAATAATGACTATCAATTGTTTGTAATAAAGCAATTTACTACAGGATAAAATGAAATAAATCTAAAAATATCATTCTATTGCAAGCCAAACCTACTATGTACTATACAATGTACCTACTTATTCCAATTAAATTTATTTTTTCAGTAGAATAATTATAAAAAATATCCCACATGGATTATAATCACGCTAGGCTAAGTGGCATGTCTCAATGAATGCTGAAGTGGCGAGAACAGAGTGTAAATAATATTTACTTAAAAATTGATTTTTCAATTATTATAAACAAAAACAACGGACAATAATTTTTATACAATTTCGTCGATAGTGACATCTGTGATATATGTCGCTGGTCACATCTGACATCTAACATTTCGTTCAGTAATTATTAACAGGGCTGACGAGAGGGGGGTAGCCTGGACTCATTGCCGGAGCCCGGGCTCAAGTGGGGGCCCAGCAGCGGCATAAGGGGGCCCGGCATCTTAAGATGAGGACTTTTTTTATTTTGTTTAGAAGTTCGTCACAAGAGCGAGGACCTTTTTTTTAGAGATTTCACGAAAGATGAGGAGAAGTTTTTGCTTTTTTTTTAGAAATGTGATATTGACAAGGCTTAATTGTCGCGGGGCCCGACCTGGAAAATTGTCCCGGGGCCCGACCTGGCTCTCGGCGGCCCTGATTAATTATCATTTTCATCATAAATACATTTTGTTTTTACTTATATGTATCCATAAAAAATAGTTCAGTACTTAGCCATAATGAGTGTTTCGTTTTAGGTATCACAGTAAAGATTGGAAATAAAGTATTTTCGCATACTTTATTTTTATGCAAAAGTATAAAGTATAGTTATCGAAAATAAAGTAGGATACGTTATTATAAAGTATGGTTGGCCACCCTACCTGCACCCCATGAGGAGATACAGTATTATTTTTTTTTTTTAATAAACTAGGAATATTGGAAAGAAATAGTAAAAGTAAGAATCTACAGAATTATTGAGGCAAATTTTTATACTTAAAAATCTTCTATAGGTACCCACCCACACAATATTAAACATTTTAGGTAGGTATTCATAAACTTCTTTTGTACCTACTTCAAGAATCTATTTTTAAAAAAACATTAATTTGCAAGCATATCAAACGGCTTTGGCTGTTCATCATCAGGACAATCTTCAGTGTTTTATCTAAGCTAACATGAGTAATGCATTGACTGATGACTGTAACTTTGGGTGTATATATAAGTCCAAAAACACTAGCTTTACTACAGGAGAAAAATATAATATACTGTGTAGGGCGTAGGACAACTAATAGTTTCGACCAATAGCCATCATCAGTCAAATATAGAGTCAACAATATACCGGGTGTTCAAATTAAAGTGTTACAGTTAAATACCGCCTTTTATAAAAAAACGTTTCAGACGAAAGTTTTATAGTTTTTTTGGGGAAAACATTTTGACTAAAATCGTTTTTTATAGATAACCATAATATGGCCAACTTTTTTTTCGCAGCAACATTTTCATGTAGTTGTTACTCAGAGTAAAAGTCCAATAAAAAAAATTTTCCTTTAAAATTTTTATAAACTTTCAAGAATATGTAAAAAAAATGGGGTTCCAATTTGAAAAAAAAAGTTTACCTCAATATGGCCATATTATGGTCAGTACAGAGAACCTTTTTGTATACAACACATATATCAAACTTGTCTAGCATCCAACGAACGCGTATTTAAAAAATGTATTCGGTTTAGGTAGAATCTGAAAGAACATTTTGGTTAGTTATGTGGTCCCTAGTTCATATCAGTTGCAAAATATTGAAATTAATTTGTTATTTTCTAATTATAGATAGTTTCTTACCTGAATAATCAGAAAAACAGACTTTTTCATTATATTATGAAATTTCAAAAAATCATAAGATAAAACGTAATTAAAACAACGTCGGTAATACAGGCCACGTACAGGCCCTCTAGATTAGAAAAGTTTTATGCGAGAAAATACCTATGCGCAGGGCAGAAATCTATTTCTTTTTAATTGGTCTTTTACCTACGATACATTCAGCTACCTTGCACATTTTTCTACATTTTTATTCCAAATTTGATAATGATAACTGGTTCTTATAAAATCATGATTTTAAATGTTTAGATTAATAAACTATATTTTTTAAATATTTTACTGTATAAGCTAAAAAAAAAATAAAAAAATTGCTGTGAAGGAAAGTTGCAAGTCATTCGATATAGATGGCACTAGATGTGGCGTGGCAAAAATAATGTACCTGTACCTATTCTTCATTCTTCCAATTATTGGCTGCCGTTGGCTACGTTCGTAAGAATAGTCATTTCAATAATTGAAATTAGTAATGTAGGCACCGCAGAATTTCTTGGAAATTTACCCTTAATACCCATAAACATTTTTAACCACCTATCATAGAAGTAGTGAGTTAATTACTCGATATGATTATCAATTCTGTTTAATACCCACCCCTCTTTGTCGATAAGGCTTTAGGCCAAAAATAAGAATCTTGAGAATTAGAGGTAGCTGAATAAAACTTAAGGAAAAGACCAAAACTAAAAGGTTTCTGTAGAACAGACTAGATGGCACGCATTGCACATGCCATTGCCGTCATTTTCAATTTTCAAATTACTACGAGAGTTGGCGTTTCAAAATCTCTCTTATTAGTGAATTTTTAATACTAATCAAATAAGTCAGGTAAGAAGTTTATAATATTTATAATTATAGATACTAAAATGACCAGTATAACATTTTACTTCCAAAAAATTACGTTACACAATAATAATTGAGCACTACAAAATTAGTATGTATTTTGTGTATTTAATACATAAAATTTTAGTACCTATATCGTTTTTATATTAAATTGCTAATTTAAAGTTTGTCTAGGTCCTTAGAATTAACAACAAATGTTTTTCTTTCAGATTTATGAATGCCTAAATCGTCTTATTCGCGTTCGTATGTATGCTAGACAAGTTGATACAGGTTTTGTATGAATGATGTTCTCTAGGTACAATAAAGACCTAGTACTGAGAAATTTGTAATTTTTCGGTTCTGGTGGACAAGGCTGTGGGTTTAGTTTTGCAAGCAAGCTCCAAATTTCCTGATTTTTTTAAATTGCGAATTTTGACGAGATTGTGAGTAGAACTTTAGTACCCAGAAACACGAGCACTGGCCGGAGGTTCCACTAGTGATGGGCCAATGGGCTGTGCTATAGAGAACAGAGAAAAAGTTGGTGAATGTTGACATCGGTATTGTTCTGGGAGTATCATGGTAATACGCAAAATACAGCAGGAGTATTTATATATATGGGCCCCCTCACAGGAGAACAATGCAGAGTCAACGAATCAGAAGAAGTATAAAAAGGGTGAGTGCTTTGATATTTTATTATAAAACTATTATAGATACTTTCAAGATCATCTCATATAAAAAAGTAGGAAAGTGTACCTACCACAGAGTTTTCTTTATTTTTTTACCAGAATATACCTACAATTTATTTGTTGATTAATATCAGGATATTTATTTTATTCAATTATAACTGAAAATGTTGGTAATTATAAAAATTATGTGGTATGTGTGTCTATTTTTAAATAAGTTTGTCCCTTTTCTAATTGTTGTTTTTTATATTAATCAACAAATTAATTCTGTCACCCAGGAAATTGGAAGAAACTATAAGTAGGCTTTAATTCGCTTACCTTTTGAACTGTTCTAAATTTAACTTTTGAGTATCAACATCATTGCCATCAGATTTGGTTTTGGACATTTTCTTCAGATTGTCCATCATTTCTTGCAACCTGGGATCAGTCTTTCTGAGGCCTGTAGCTTTTACCGCCTAAAAAATAAACTTTGAAATTTTTGGGAAATATTAAGAGTATTTCATATACCGACAAGAATTTCCCAATATGCAGCAATCCTGTCTCTTGGTTTTTAAACATTTCAAACAAGGCCACATCAGTTTCATAGTCTTGTCCGCTGTAAAGGTGTCTTATTAAATACTTACAATTATGTTTAATGAAATTAATTTTGTACTTACTAAAAGAGGTAGCTTGTATCATGGATAAAAGAATAATCTCGTCTGTAAAATAATGACTATTATTTGTACACATTAGGTCTGAGATACTGAGATAAAAATATACATAATATTGAGATACACATACAAATTGTTAAAACTGTAAGTATTTACTTTGGGTTTCATAATCAACTAACAAAAATTCAGGAAGAACAATTATCACTTAATATCACTTATATCAATAAATATGTGACCTGAACTCTGAACTAGATGACCTACATGTATAACAAGAAAAAATGTAGAAAAAATTTAAACACACCGATAATTATTACATTATAAATGAACAAACATAATCATAAAACATTTTTTTTATAAACCAGTTAAAATGAATTTTTTTTTACTGAAATAATTTGTTTCAATTTGTACTTTCCTTATACATTTTTACAATTTATTCTTGTTCATTAAATGTTGATAAAGGATGGGTAATATTTTACCTGCTTAATACCTGCAGATCAAATATTATTAAAATTATTCAGTAATTTGTTATATTTCAGTTATTTTTTTACACAAATACATAAAAGTCGTGATAAAATCAAGTAGGTAAGCTATAATGTTTGGTGTACTTATTTATTCATAGAAAATTGTAAATTTCCACTAATGTTTACTATAACTAAAATTACATATATTTTGTTGAACATAAAGGGCCTGCCCCACCATCCCAGTTACGCCCAATATTTTAATATCAAATATATTAAAGTGAAGAGTTATCCTTTTATTTTGTTAAAAAAGTGGTTATCTAATTCGTATTTGCAGATAAAATTTCCTCTAAACAAAACTTGGGGGTCCTATCAGTTATTAAGTAAAAATATTAATATTTTCCGCTATAGAATCTACTGATAAAATATTACCCGTTCTTTATGAATCACCCTGTATTTAGTTTCGCAAATAAAATTTTACAAAAGAAAGAACCGGCTCCTTTTTCGTTTTGAATAGTTTAATTGTAACATAAACTTTTGTCACTCACAAGAACATATTTTTAGACAAGAGAAAGTCAAAATAATTTTCCATTTATCTAACGTGAATCTTTTCATGGTGAAATTTTATTATCGAATTCATAAAAAAAAAATTGAATCTCCCTGTAAGGATTATTGTATGTAGAATTAAAACTTATCAGGACCGATAAAAAGTATTAACAAATAAATGTACATTGAAATATTTTGGCAGTAAATAGAATGAGTAATAATAAATGAAATGATCATAATGTCAATACAGGTGAGAATTTATTCAGATTTTATAAAATTATAAACCATGCATAAGCTTTTAACTGCTTGTGGTAAATTTAACCAATAGGTAGTCACTTCGCTTTAAATTTAAAAAAATATAATTCTAAACAAATTTGTATTTTAAAAACAGCGCTAGATCTGGAGCTGATGAATTTGTGCATCGTTTTCGAAAGATTTGTGACAGAAAACTAAAATTTATAACATTGAGTTTAATGAAAAATAATAAAACAATACCTTTGTTTCCTAGTGACACTCCTCGATTGGTCGAAATCATTCTAAAAAATACCGAAAATGTAGACACTAGTTAAAGTTCTAAAATAATAAAAAAAAATTGACTTACTTTTTTTCTATTGCTATGAAATCCGGAGATCCTTAAAGTATGAATTGAGATCCATTGTTCTAATTGACTCTTTATTTGACACCTATTTAAACGACTTAACAAACGGTTTGAGAGCATTATTATTTATAATTTTCGTATTTTTGCGGTCGATATCGAGAGAATTGATGATGCGGCGCCTTGGCGTCCTATCGTTATCTACGCTTCTACACAGTCACACTACTCGAATTTGCGTCCAAGGTTGCCTATTTAGCGATTTCGGAAGGTTTGTCGCGACTTCGATATCTCAAACATGGTGTTTCTTGGCTTCTATATGGCTGTATAAATTGTAATTATTTTAAAATGTAATTAATATAAACTGTACTTATCAGTTATAATTATAAATTGTAATTATACTTTCTAAATTCATGCGACAAAATTCAGGAGGTGATTGCTCGTATGAAATTAAGATGGGTCTTTCCTATAACAAAATTTTCTCAGCCCACACCTTTCCGAGATATCACCCTTAAATAGTAAACACGGTAAATGAATTATGGAAGTGACAGCAACCTACTATTCTAAAACTTTGTAATTAAAAACAAGGTAGAGATGGTCATTTCCAGCATTTATTATGAATCGTATTACATTTTACATCTTTACTGTTTTCCACTCAATTTATTAAAAAAAATTAAGAATAAAAATTTTTTTTAAATAAAACAAGGATTTCAAGTTATAATTTTATTTCATAAAACTTCATCTCGAAAAAAGTTTTGACATGAAATAAAGTAAGGATTGCTAATTTCACCCCCCTATATAATGTAACAGGAATATTGAAAAAATACCCGTGGTTAGTCCTTTGCGAGTGCACGAAAATTACAGAATTTCAAGTGTCTAGCTTTACTGAAATTTTGGAAAAAAAAAAATAAAAACTCAATTATTTTAGTCACCACCTTTTAAGGGCGATATCTCGAAAAGGGGTGGGCTGAGGAAATTTTGTTATAGGAAACACCTCCTGAATTTTGTCGCATGAATTTAGAAACACCCTGTATATAATATAATTAATTATAAATTATAATCTGACGATCTAGTTGAGACTTTCAAATGTCACCTGTTGGCAACACTGCTTTGTGCTTAGATCTCACTGAACGTATTGAAATAACATTTCGACATCGACCGCTTCGAAGATCTGAACTTGAACGAAGAAAGGCGAAGCCAGAAACGATTGCCAAACTGACAAAAATTATTCAGTTTTTATGTTTTTAATCAATTTCATACTATGGCAATTTTTGTTATACCGCGATTTCACCGGTTTTCCGCAACAAATTACTTAATCAGAAGCCAATTCCACACGTATCATCGTATTTTGCTGCCGGCGAAATAGGAACGAACAAAAAATGCAAGTAGATAAATTACGTTACCATGGTAACGACGCATATTTGTTATTTATGTTTCGCGTCAATTTGAAACTTTGAAGGAGGGAACGCATTAAGCAAGCGCGGTCTTGTCCAGTGTTGCCGTTGCTATTACAATTGTAACAAATCTATTACTAAAAAAGTACATTAGTACGATATTACGACTTTTAAGAAAAAACAAATAATCTATTACTTTTTAAAATATCACAATTTTATGAGTGGCCCCATCTAAGCTTCAGAGGCTATATTTAAAAAATTTAGAAATCTATACATTTGTTATGCCTGTGTTTTCCAAAATAAGCATCCTTTGTTATATAATATTTTTTTGTTATGACTCAGGTTTTAGTTTAGTAGGGGATTGCCACCAGCCTCCAGCATTTCAGCATAATTTATATCTTGTATTTAATAACGTAGAAGCCCTCAATTTATATTTAAAGTACCACTATAGCTATTTATACATGTAATATCTTCTCATTTAATAAATAAATAATATTAAAACCAAATTAAGAAATCGTCTAAATGTGGAAAGATGCAATTCATTAATTTTAACTTTTAACTAAGCAGTTATTGAATGAAAATAACTGTTGTAATTTTGAGCCGAATGATGCTTTGTTAAATTATAATGTAAATAAAAATGATAATGATAATTTACAATGTGCAGAAGATTTAACATTTTAAATATTTATTTACACACATGGTATATTTACATGTGTTTACATTATACTTCCTTTCTTATTTTTGTTTGAAATAAATGTTTATTTTTACAATCATGGTTTTTCTTCATTATACTTTTCGAAACCTATTATTTCTATTAACCAAACCGATATATTTGATAATACACAGTTTTATTGTTAAATTTATTTAATATTAGTTCTGGTACATTTATGTTACTTTAAAATATTATCTATTACAATTTTATTACCTTTTGGTTCAAAATTCTATTACGAAAAAATTAATTGGTGTGGCAACCCTGGTCTTGTCGCATCGCGGCCTGTGCTCGATCGCTCGCATACTTTGGAAAAGATAGGAGGAAAACGAGATGCGAGCGAGCACAGCTCAAGCGAACACCAATTATTGCAAATGCGTGCGTTAGAAAATATGGAAAAGAACTTCACCGCGCGCGCGCGCGCTCGAGACTAGTACATACCGCGATGCAGCGGGTAGGCGATTGCTTAATGCGTTTCCACCTTTAATATTTGAAGAGCTGATAACTAATTTGGGAAAGATATTTTAGGCGATTTGAAATTAAAAACAGTACTAACTAGTATATCGATGTTAGTGAATCTGGAATCGAGAGACATCAGGAAGGGCACATACGGTTATTTTTCTGCAGCGCAGCATATGACATTAGCAAAAAATTAATCTAAAAACATATCCTCCAAGCATCTTGAAATTATTTAAATTTTTTATTTTAACATTTATAGAATCCCAGACTATTTCGACGATTTGACTGCCCCGAATTTTAATAGCAAATTTATTAATTAATATAGAAAGTATCTGCCGAAAAGCCTGACGAATACAATACGACGATTTTAAATGAGTGGCTCACCGAGCGATTGGTTGCTGAAAGAACACGCACATTACTCGAGTTGAGCATGTAGCTCGGTCTGTTTACAGATCATTTTGGAGCATTTTCATTATGAAACTGAAAAATTGACCAATAGACATCTAGATTTTTAAATAACCAAGTAGGCAGACCCAATATTTTCTGTAGAATATTTGACAGTTTCTAAGAGATTCGTGTTTTATGACAGTTTCAATTTTTTGCGTTAGTCACTTATTTTTAAAAAAATGTCGAGCGACGAAGAGTTTTCATGCACACCACCTGAAATCGCTGAAAGGGCCAAAAATGTATCATAGTTATTGTATTGATTATTTTGTAGGAATAAAAGTTAAGTTGAAGAACTTATTATTTTCATATTTTATTTCTTGTTTGTATAAAAAAGTATTAAAAAAGATCTATATTCTGTCATTGTGAACCCCCAATATTTTGGTCAAGAACCGTCACTGCATGGAACGCATAACAGTTAAAATGTTGCAAAGTATCTATGAGTATATAGATTAATCTTTTTTTAGTATAAATATTAGTTTTATTACTATCGTTAATTAATTCTTAAACTAAATCATTTTGGTTCATGTTGCTGCCAATAGAACTTCGCCATTTTTTTACCTCTTACCCACTAGGCGTGCCAAAAGATGAAGTTACAAACTTCGAAACCGATCACATTAAAATACACATATCATTGTGAGATTCAAAGGACCTTTTTCTTCTCTGCCTCTCATTTAATTAACTAACTCACACATGGCTATCGCAAGTTTGAAGTTTCATGTTAATTTCAATCCCTTCGATGATTATGTGTACAAAGGTTGTCCGTAAAATAAGGTCTCCAATTTTTTTCACAAAGTAAAACATGTTTATTTGCAATGAATTATACATTGTTAGAAAGCCTAGACCTCGTACATGCTTCCAGACGTTGAGCACAATTTTCTGTCGTCCAGTTTTTCCACTTCCGGTGCAGGGCTATTGGCCTATCGGCCACATGACCGGATATTTACTTTTTTCGACGAAATGGGGGATATATCTTAATCGCGTATTTTCTGAATTTCTGATATTGCGAGCATTTTTTTATGTCTATGCGAAAGGGTTGATTTAAAACATATTTTCTAAAATAGGTGTAAAATTGGAATCAATAATAGAAAAGAGGTCTAATTGCTCTCAAAATGTTTGTATGACTTGTCACTGAGTATTTTTTATTCATTATAGTTAATTCACCATTTTATGTCAAAATATTTTAATTTATTATGGTTGCTATCTCATAAATAATAAAACGGGTAATGATGGAAATGTACTCTTATTAAAAATAAATTGGCAAATACGCGATTACTTTTCAATTTTTAGAATTTGACAATAAAGCATAAAAAATAGCAATGGGCAATGGACTAAGAGTCTGTGGAAATGAAAAAATGAGGAGTTGTTGCCATATGATTTCTTTTTTTGTACTGCGGTATTCATTTTGCGAATAGATTACGGTTTAAAAAAAAATATATTTATAATGGGTACTTACCATAAGTTTGTCATATTTACTTATTTTCCAAGACTTTGAATTGTATACCCTTGAAATGCAATTTTTGTTATCTTCCTACATTTTTTAAAAAGAGAATCACCGGATTGTGACTGTGGTCGTAAAAACCATTCCATAGTAATATTTTTTTCAAAAAATCAATGGAATTAGGGATTCGCTTCCCAACACATATTTTTTCCTTACTTAGTTCAGATATTATAAGTGAAAAGAGGGGGTAAAACCCTCTCCAAGGCGGACTATGCGATGTATAGCAGAAGTAGAAGTTGGAAAGGCTTTTGCCAGTTCTCCCACTTTATACACATAAATTGACAGGTTTGCGGCGGATCTCACCGAAGTGGACGCGATACATTCCCAGACAACACACGAAATCCCAAAGATATCCACAGAATATCTTTTGTGGATATCCAATATATCCACAGGATATCAGAAATATTCCGTGGATCTAATATGGATATCCAAATGTCCGTCTATATCCAGAATATAGAAGATATCCTATGGATATTCAGCAAAATATCTAATTAGTATCTTCCAGACAATACAAGAAATCCCAGAGATATCCACAGAATATATTTTGTGGATATCCAATATCCAAATATGGATATCCAACCAAATGTCCGTCTATATCCCAGGATATAGAATTCAGATATTCAGCAAAATATTTTATAGGTATCTTTAGTAGACATTCATAAGTAACCAAATGAATGATAACGTCGAAAGAAAATAGAGATAAAAAATATTTGAATTTGCCCACTAAGGAAAAAGTCATCCTTATTAGGACTCTTCAGCAATAAATGGAAATTCTCGACTCCAGTCTCTAATAGAGTCTTAATGCGAAAAAATGTTCGATCAACTCAATTATGGCGGGTTGGGCATGAGTAGATACGAAAGTGGTATCGCCATCTATACTTAGGAAGCAAAATCAAAAATTACATCTAGTAGTTATCCACGATGGTTTGCGTCCGCGCTAAGACTTTCGATATATGTGGATGTCCATGGGATATTTAAAAAAAATAATTTTAAATATCTGAACGGTACTATTAGCCACAATGGCGAGCACAATGGCGTAATTTTTTAATAATTTGCTATATAATTACTATTATTTATGGACATTTGCATGTCTATAAATTACATTTTATGGATATAAAATAGATATCCACCATGGACTGGACATTCAGTGGATATTGGGATGTTCAGTAGATATCCAAAGGATTTGGTGTGCTGTCTGGGTTGGCGTACAAAATTATTTTATAGATGTTAATAACATTTTCGAGTAAATAGTATAATAAACTGTGAATAGCTGTTGAAATTTTACTAATTATGATTTGAATATTATAATACATGTTTAATAATTATTTATAGTCCATAAATACATGCGATTGTCCGGTTCCGCCGGTAACAATTTAAAATTACTTATTCTATGAAACGACAATGGCAGGTAAACATTACTGCGAAATTCTCGAAGCCGTCCGACGTGGTTTGACGTTTACCCCCTCTCTACCTACCAAAATCCTTTCCACTTGTTCTACTTGTGTTATACACAGACGGCTCTTAAACTGAAAAATGAGTGGAATAGTAGAAGCGGGAGTTTTCGACCAGAAGCCAAGAGTTGATATATCAATAAACCTGGGTATTCTGGCCCTGATATTTCAAGCAGAAATTATTGATATGGAATTAAGAGCGAGAGAGTTGAATAATTATCTCCCCGCTAACAAGACTATAAAGATCTTTTCGGATAGTCAGGCAGCCCTCAAAGCCCTGAGCTTCAAGCAGGTTTGGAACTGTATAAATACCAGCCCGAGATTGCTGGAAACAGGGATCTCCCATACCGGCTGAACTCGTCTGGTATACAGACGGTTCAAAAACCAAGGATGGAACCGGTGTTGGTATCTATGGACCCCAAGTCGAAAACAACGATTTCGCTGAGTCTAGGAGAATATGCAACAGTGTTCCAGGCTGAACATTGTGCAAAAAAAAAATATTAAATCGGCAAGTATCTGGCAAAACTACTGCCATCTACTCTGATCATCAAACAATGGATGCAAAAGTCTCGGGAATGGAGGAACTATACAAGACTAAGACAGGCCAAACAGTTCATCAAGGAACCATCGGCCAAGTTCAAGATTAAAAACGTCAAATCGTTAGGATAACAGTAGGTCTTCTTACCAGACACAGTTGCCTAAGAAGACACATGAGTGTTATCAATCCATCAGAAGAACTTTGTGCAGATTCTGTGAAAGAAGAGGAAACATCAATCCACGTCCTGCGCCAGTGTGAAGGCCTGGCTAGAATAAGGTTACTAACATTAGGCGAAGAAAAGTTAAACGCACGCAACTACATGCGGGAGCCCCTGTAAAAGCTACAAAGTCTAATAAAAAAGACCAAGCTAGACGACATTCTCTAAAAAACGGAGTTCCACAATGGATCTGAAAAGGTCACGGTGAACAAGGACAAATAATGTCAAACTCCTTCTAAATCTAATCTAGTGTCTCGGTTCTCGGAACAAAGTTACTTTGATCTGGGTTCCAGGATACAGCAATGTAGAGGGTAATGAAAAAGCTGACGCGCTGACTGAATGGGCGTTCATAGGACCAGAACCATTCCTAGGAATTGCAAAGAGCACTACTGCCAAAGTATTTACCTCAAAATGAGACGAGGGTATAACACTCATGAACTGGAGAGATACCCCAAGGCTAACACATTCGAAGGCGTTTATACATAACCCTTCTATAAACGCCTCTGCTCAGATCCGGGAATGGAGTAAGAAAGATCTCATTCTCACGGTACTGGTGACAGAACATTGTTATCTAGGTAATCACAAGAGAATAGGTTCACAACAAACGTCGGACTGTCGATTTTGCAGCATGGAAAACAAATCTGCAGAGCACATTCTATGTACCTGCTCCACTTTGGAAAAAACTAGATCCTTGGACTCATCCAACTGGAGTCTACGGACTTTAAACAGGTCTCACCCAATTCAACAATTGCCTTCATCAAAAGGTGTAGCTTGATGATCTATAAGTTAGACATGAGCCACAATATATACATTTGGGAAGGGAGGTGACGAGACCATCCCACTCTTATCCAACCTAATCTAGTTCGACTGCCACATTGAAAAGTGTGAGCCGTCTACTAAATTGAGTGGAGATGGTTTGTGCGAGCATCCTTTTTATGAATGAATCAGCTCGTACGACTGCGATTCCTGCTTTACACCGTTGCCGCGCTGCAAAATAAATGGTGCTTTTTCCTGTAACTTCAGCTTCAATAATAGTTGCAACCAAAAAATTACATTAAACGATAATTGGCATTAAGAATTAATGCCTTAATGTAATTTTGAATGCCTTTTGTTCGTTTTAGATCCTTATGTTAAGTAAACTCAAAATTATAACCATAAACAATCCTTGTAATAATTTAGCAACTATGTGGATAACGATGTGAATGCTTGCAATTCGGTTTTTGTAAGCAATGGTCTAGTGGTTCGTCATTGGGTTACATCTAGATTTAGTTGAAGTAGAACAGAAGTAAAAGTTGGAAAGGCTTTTGCCAGTTCTCCCACTTTATACACATAAATTGACAGGTTTCTGTCGGATCTCACTGAAGTGGACGCGATACATTGGCGTACAAAATTATTTTATAGATGTTAATAACAATTTTTAGTAAATAGTTTAATAAATTGTGAATAGCTATTGAAATTTTGTAAAATTATGATTTGAATATTATACATGTTTAATAATTATTTATAGTCCATAAATACATGCGATTGTCCGGTTCCGCCCATAACAATTTAAAATTACTTATTCTATGAAACGACACTGGCAGGTAAACATTACTGCGAAATTCTCGAAGCCGTCCGACGTGGTTTGACGTTTACCCCCTCTCTACCTACCAAAAGCCTTTCCAACTTTTACTTTCTCTATAAATAATATATTAAAAAAAAACATACAAACCTGTTAACAGTCATCTGCAGATGTCTCATTTCATAATTATTGTTAATAAATCACCACAGTTCATTAGATTTTACATAGCGTTTACCTTTTAGCTTATTGTTCTGTACAATTAGCGTTTTATTTTTGGTTTAATTTGGTTTGATGGGTAGAGAATATTTTATGAAAACTGCGGCGCATATGCAATCAGAAAGACTCTTGTATTTCGTAAATGAGATCTACTACAAAAGTTTATTTAAAAATATCACAAAGTAACAAAAAACAAATCAACACCAAACATATAGGTATCATTTAAAAATGTATTCAAAGAGAAAAGACGAAATATTTTTGGGTTTTATTTTTATATAAATCTGAAGGAGCAGTGTTATTGCTTTTCAACCTAGATTACAAAATGCTTGGTTCTCATGATCCAAAACTCCGAACGGCTACCGCCACCCAGGCGCAAAGAGGTAACTAACAAACGCTTATTTTTCAGATAACAAATTTAAAAAAAAACTATTCTAGCCGAAACAAAATTTACATAATCTTTGCACCTTGAGCGATAACTATAATTACGAGGGTAGTCCGTGTTAAACGTAAAATTTTGGAGGTATAAAGACAATTTATGCAACAGTTTATTTAGTTTCGTCTAATTAAATTCCAAAATGATACACATTTTAATGATCTCTTAAAAGATCAAACTAAAAATAGAAGTAAAATTCTTTTTGTAAAAAGAAAACTGCAATCGACGTTTTAATCAAATAAAAACTTAATAAATAATTGTTTCAAAATATAAATTAATTTGAATTTAGTTTTCACAATAAAGAAAAAATAAAGTAATTATAAATTAAAATGGAATTATGTTTCGTTAAGTAAAATACAGGACAAAACCATCTACTGCATTTTCGAGACTACAGGGTGTTCACGAAAATAATACACATAACAAAAAAATGTTATACTAAAACCATCAAAATGCTAAAATAATATCATCCTGATGATGCGTTTCTATTGGATTACTTTAGATTAAGGTCTCTTTCTGTCAGTAACGGAGGGAGATAAAAGTAGTGATTGGTTGATCGGAAATGTCCACATAAAAGAGTTGTACCCAGCTTCATTCTGATGCCTCTGACTCGTGCATTACGTGTATCTAAACTAACTGCGCGTTAGTCAGTTTATTCGTCCGTTGTTTTATCAGCAACTTGTTGGAACGCAAAATGCAATGAAAATTGACAAATCAACCACTAGGTGAATATGCATTTTAAACCTTATTTAAAATACAACATAATACATTTATTTAGCTGTCTTAAACGAACTATTTGAATGTGCTTATAATTTTGAAACCTTAACATGTTTATTTTTATTAAAAATAAATATTTACATAAAAAAAGATAAAGAAAAAGTAATTATTTACTTAAATTGAAAAAAATAGAAATCCAAGCTAAATTAAACTTACAACAATCTTCTTCTCTAAATAGTATGCAACAAAGTCGCTGTTTGCTTGTTCGTTTCTCAGCTTACTTCTAAACCACGCAACCATTTTGATACGATTTTCACCAATAGAAAAAAGCGATAAACGAGGAAGGCTTATGTATATAATTTGTAAATATTTTTTACAAAATGGCTGAACTATGACGGCGTATTGTCAAAAAATGGTGTATCTGTATTGAAAAGTAAAAGAAAAAGTGGATGGGCATTGAAAGTATTAGGGGGAATCGATCAGATGTCCGTCGGAGGTGTTCAAAAATTACTTTTCCGGAAAAGACATTACTAAACAGTAGTAAGTTAAAATTAGTTTATCTCATTCCGCCAATGACAGAAAGACCCACCTGCGCCGGCTAACACGTGTTTCTACCAAACTTTCACCAAACCCGCAATTTTTTATTCCCTGTTAACTTAAACAATCTTAAGCGTTGTTTTTTTATTTCACGCTCTCAGACATCCCCCTGCTCATTCCCGAGAAAATCTGGCAGACTCCCCTAATCAGGCTTGGGTCCAGCCACTGGCTCCACTCAATCAGGCTTGGGGTCCAGTTTGCTTTCCCTCCTCTTGAGGTTCGCATGGCGGCACTAAGACACATATTATCGTGCTACCATTTGGATGCTCTACTCCTTCCCATTCATCATACATTCATTCCACGTCGTTGATGGTTAACCGCTAGTCGGCTAAGTCCAGCGGTCACCCATCCAATACGTGATCGGAGACATTACTGCTTAATTGTCGCGAGAACGTAAATGCCTCTCCGGCGTTGTTGCCGGTTGTTTTAAAGTTCTACCAAAATATACCGGTATGTTAAAGAAACGAATTATCTTCGAGGACACCCTGTAGATTTTTTTTTCAGTTTTCAATAATCTCTCAATATTAAAAATAAATGTAAAAATAAAAATGATAAAATTATGCATCGCTGCTAATGCTTAATACTTTTTATAACAGTCTAGAGGATATATCTAGTTAGGTTCATTATTTACCAATTCCAAACATCTTAAATATTTACAGACGCATTATTTTAGAAAAATAATAAAAAAAAATCAAAATTAATTAATATGATAAGGATAAACGTACGCATCGCTACACATATCCTCTGCACATTGTCAAAAATTTCAAATATTGCACTGTTGGTGGAATTAAAATGATCGTAGGTCTGTAACGTACTTCGTGCATAAATGTATCTTTAAATCCTCGAAATTGAAGACAATAAAGAAAATATCCGCCAAAAAACTCATTACATCAAAACGACAGTCTTTTACAAATGACTTCATCTCAGTCACAATCGGGGGATTTACCTACTTATAAATAAAAATGATTCGTTTAAATAATTCATGCAATAAATAATATAATTACGTCCATGAAAAATTACCTAAAGTAAATCGACTTGTACGGTTACAGCACAAAACATTTTTCACAAAAAAATCACGCAGTCATATAAAAATGAAATTAATGAAAAGGGTTTAATACTTAGGAATTATCAATTAATAAATATTTTTTGGGTCTTGTATTTACAAAAAAAAAAAAATACAGCGTTCTCAAAATAGTTTTTTTACGCCGCACTTTTCCTGATTTCAGTGAAAGATTTTTTAGGTAAAATACTTCTGTAAGCGCACAAGCCATTCTAAGTTCATGGAATATAATCTCAAAGATAAGCAAAGAGGGGAATAAAAAGTGCTAATATTTGTTTTATACGAATTATTACAAAAAACACCTCCATCTAGCGATTCTTTAATAAACATCGCTAATCTATACAAGTGAGCCCAAAATCGTGTCAACCAAAAGTTACCTTCTCAGTAAATATATTCAGTTACGTAGGTACATAAAAATATTTTCGTATTTACATGGTATATCTTCGACAAATATTCAACATTTTTTTTTTTAATTAATGAGACCATATATACATATTTTATCACGAAGAACAACAAAAAAGTTTTTTTAACATTAAAGACATTTTCAGTATTCAAAATACTGTACATCCTTCCTTGTGACATAATTGACAACGGCCTTGCAATTCGCACTAGTACTTAAAAGTCTTATTACCGAGAGAAATTAAACTATTCTCTAATACAAAGTGTTCAAACACGCCTACAGCATACAGGGTTTCCGTTCTGGAATTGGTCCCATACATCAATAAACACAAAATGAAAGGAACTAATCTCATAAGGGCACTTTAGTGTATTAAGACGGTTTTAAGCTTTGATTTCATTTGGTTTGCCTAAGCTCCGCCCTCACATTGTCATTATTAAACCTGATCTTTCCGACAGCTTTATGTAACCAACTACGTTTACAAAAACCCCCTATACAGTAGGAAAGTTATTTTCGAACGCCTTGTATAAACGGTAAGAAAGTTTAAAAGTTTTCAATGAGTACGAATTTGGTATCAAAAATAGCATTTGAGAATAGTCAGCTGTCAAAGTTCGCATTGGCACAAGGAGTGCATGATCCTAAAACAACTCTAACCTTATCCTAAAGTTAATTGAACTACAAAAAGTTACTTCTGAGGTATTTTTTCTTTTAAGAGCATCATGTTAAAGTTTCACAGGTGTTACACATAAGAAGGTAACTTTGGTGTATGGAACACGACTCACCTTGCCTCTTATCGAACATGAACACCACTTTCGCTAACTTTTTTCCCAACACGGACTATATTCCTTCTACATTGTCAACATCTGTGCTAATCCATAGACTATCCATCTTACAAGACAAACTTATATACATTAAAAATATGCAAAATAGTATCATAAATTATCACGCTTGGTTTCTTTACAAGTTATACGCTATATAACAAGCAAATATTAATATTAAAGTTGTACATCAGTTACAAGTGGCAGTGATAGCTGACCTCTGTGGGCGGTCATCTAAATTTATTAACTAAGTTATTCTAAACTGATCGTGAGCTGAGTTCGTATTAGTATGAAGAACAAAATTGTTATAAACGTCGCACAACTCCTGCATCTTGTATTCCTCCAAACAGACGAATCCCTCCAAGTTCGGCGACTGCTTTCGCGCACAGTCCATACAATGGACCACGTGCCTCTTTTCCTGCTCCCGGATGAACAAAATATTGAACACCTCCACCTAAAATGTACAAAATAATCATTCAAACATCTTACTCCAAGTTTCGCGAATATATTTGAAAAATTCGTTCTTAGCCATTTAATGTTTTCTTTTTTGAAAGGCTAACCAGCCACAGCTACTTATATTAGCGCCCCTAAAAAAGTGCATGTTACAAATGACGCTTCTACTATAGCAGGTATCGGCAACCAGCATTCTATGGGCCATAAGTTTGTGTGCGGCCCGCCAAACAATAACGAATTACATTAAATTAGGATCTGCCAAACGCTGGAACCACCAGGAACTCTAGAGCAACTATACCCATTTTCGTTCAAGGATGCAGTGAGCCAAACATCTTGAAGTAGTTCGTTTGTCACTTTGTGCGAGGTCAGATGTTCAAGAATGAAAGCACATGACAAGAGGTTGACCGAGGACAATTTACAAACCATTCTAAAGATCTCTCTATTACAAACTGATGCACATTTTAATAAAATCAAAAATTATGGGACCTAACTATACAGTACGTTAACAAGCGTACCAGCAAAATAAAGATGAGATGCTTAATTATATTTGGAGTGAGAAGTATAATGAATGTAACTTGGTTTAACTATACCCTTTCGATGGCTAAGACAGGATATTGCAGTCCACAGTCTGAGAAAGTGGTAGACTGTCCTAAGGTTACCGACCCGTGTACTATAGGATAAATGGTATATAACTCGAGCTACACAACCTTTAGATATGGCGTCTAAGGGACTCTGGTACCAAACAGAACTGTTCAGCTCTTTCAAATATTGCGTTGGCGTCAAATGGTTGTAAAATAAAAAATTACTTGAATAGTTACAATAATAATATTACCTCGCATTGTCCACAGTAATGTGACGCTTCATTCTTCCCCCTACCATGGAATTTCACTTCTACACCTCTATTTTTGACAAACTCCAATATTCTACAGCATTTTAATAGTGTCCTAAGAAGGCAATTTCTGAAAATAAACATTAAATGTTACAATCAACACTGTCAGTGAGACACTTGCAAGAGTTGGAATATAAAGGGAAATACAACTTTGATTTTTATAGAATGTTCCAGGGAATAGAATTGGATGTGTCAGGTAAGTGTTGGATACAATACAGGCGCACAATTGGGATCAACGATGTTTTTTTTTTCAAATATAAAGACTGGGATGAAAGCAAAAATCTAAACAACTTACTTGATCAATTCAAAGAGTTTTTTATCGGAAACTTTGATATTCCGGCCTAAATTCCACGAGAGATGCAGCATTGGAACAATAGACTTGAAACTTTGCAGCTTATTCCACTCGTAACGCTCAATCGCAAGCTGGTACTGCCTGGCAGTGAGTGGTCCCACATTCCAAGCAATGTTATTACACCATCCGACGGCTTGAACCCAATGCACACAACCAGCATTGACCCACACCAAATCACCGGGTCGTTGCAAGAACCGATACACCGGTATATTAGCATGGTACAAATCTTCCAGCACCGGCCACCAAGATCCATGCAAGTAGTTGATTTGGTTCTTTTCGCACAGGGCGCAAATGGAACCCCAATAAGCATCTGGTACTGCGAACCATTCGCAATCACCAGGTCCTATGTTAATGTTTATTGAACAAAAGTTGTTGTTCTCTTGGTGGCCCGGCGTTCGACTTCCTGGAACTTTCATGTACAATTGGACTGTGTTCATCCCAAGTATTACGTGTCCTACATGCGAAAGCATATTTGCCGCTGAAACTACTCTAGCGAAAGCGGGCAGCTTCATCAATTCTTGTAGCTGCGGTCGCCATTTTCGCTCGTCCGATAGGTCAACATTTGTACCAAACCTGTAACAGTAAATGATGTTAAGTTAAGTTTCGACACCACTACCTACTTTAGTGTTAGCCTAGGAAAATGTAACTTACTTCAATGTCTTTTGTTCCTTGCAGTTCTTCAAACTGGGACACGGCGGCGTGGTAGGGTTAACTTTTCTCCTCTTCGCTCCACATGGCGTTGAATCTTTAGAATCCGAATCAGAGAGTCCACTGGCCGCTTTCTCACGCTCCTCCTACAAACATTAATATTATTAAAAAAAACTGACAACGTATAGATGGCCAAGAATCAATCCCTAGTGAACACCATTAACTTACTCTTAGGCTATCTTTGAAGCTTGACGCTTGGTACTGAGCATATCTGGCTATGGTCGTGTGGGACCTATGAGATATGCAGGCCCAAACTTTCTTTCCAGTCTGCGGATCCCAATTTTCATCAGAGGGCTGCTGTATCTGTGTCCTAACTTCAACACTGTGATCTGGGTTAGCCTCAACTAACGTTTTGGTGGAAAATAAACCCAAGTCAAGTTTCAAAGCAGATGCCAGACCACGTATCACAGCTATTGGGTGCTTTAAACAGAATTCCTGTAATTGTGGACTGAAAGCATGTTTCTTGTTGTCCAAATAGACCGAAGGAGTAGGAGGCAGTAACTGTTGGTGGTTGAGCTTTACTGCTGGGGGTTCCGGTGGCGCGGGCGGAGGAGCATGGTCCGATATAATGGAATTGTTGATGTTTCCAGTGATCACCTCACCCCTAGAATTGAAACATCATCATCATATTTTAAATTAATATGTTACAATTTAAATTACTTACTTGCATAATTTTATTATCGTCTGAGCATCCATTTCAGTGTGATATTCAACATCAGACAACTTTTTGTCTATTGTATGCAACGAATCAAATTCCCAGAGTGGTTCTGATTTTATTGTTAATATGTTGTCTTCTGAGGGTGATTTAATTTTTCTTTTTACTTCTTGTGCCATTTCTTGCTTTGGTGTTATGTTAGAGGGCGAAAAGGGTCCTGATGACAAGGTATTAGAAACGTTACCTATAAATAAATGCTTACTATTAAGACTGAATATTTCTCATACAAATTGTTCAGAAGGCAGTGAGGGAGGAATTCCACTGTATTCTTTCAAAAATACAAATCAAATAACTCCAGAAGGAAACAATATAAAGATTAATTAACAAAATTTTTCAGTGTAATGATTCACTAAGTATTAATTCTAATGAATTCCTGAAGATATTTGCCAAAAACTTACGAGATTTATTAAATAGGAAATATAGACATTAAAACATTAGGCAGCTACCCAGTCCCATTGCCTGAACCTTCTAAGTATAAACAACACTGTGGCATTAAATACTTGTCCACATTAAATGAACAAAGCTACTGAAGAAACAGATAGTACAGAGAAAAAAATCTGTTCAAAACTTACCAATTGAATTATTCGAACTGGGAGTCGAATCTTTAACATCGATATCGTCGGATCCAAACTGTTTAAGTAAATTTTCAGCAAGGGTGGTTGAAAAGTCTTTTTGCGCAAGCAGATCTTTGAGATCCTCTTCCAAATTTTCATCCAGATCAGTAGAATGCGGTTCGGTAGATGACAAGAAATCTCGAGGTTCAACAATGGGACTAGGTTGCACCATTTTATCGTTTTTGGCAGTGGTCGTTGGTGACATTTCTTGATCGAAACTTTGATTGTTATTGTAGGAAGGAGGTGTCGTTCTCATCATACCCCTGTTATGTTCTTGATTCTGTTGCATCAGTCTATATTGGTGTTGCAATTGCTGCATTAAGGTTTGCTGGTTAGGGTTGAGGGTGCTCGCATTAAGTTGAAAATGGTTCAACAGTTGGAGTTGTTGGGGCGTTAATGTGTAGGCAGGTTGGTTCATGACTGGCTTTTGATCGGGTTCTGTTTTGAAACGCTTCGTGTTAGAACAACCGTTCGGTGAAGGATATGGAGGAGGAGGACCCTGTGGGGTTGTAGATGAATAGTTTTTCTGGAAACTTTGCGATGTCGTACTCCGATTCGGTTGGGACGAGTTTTGTTGTCTGGACGACATTTCGGCCGATATCGGGAGATTCCAAGCCTCTTCGATAGAAAGCAACTGCCTCCTCCTAGGATTAGTAAAAAGTTTCACAAGAATGTCAACATTCAATTTTTTTTTTTATTTTTTTTTTAATAAACCCTTTTAGGAAAATATCAAAAATATATATAGCTAAATATTCTTGAAAATTTTATTTTTAATAATGGATATCCTCTCCTTTCTTATATTTGCATGTGTTAAAAATAAATAAATAAATAAATGGAAAATACTTACTGTGAAGTGACGCTTGGCATTGGGGCATTTGAGAGATGGGTCTGCAGGAAGTTAATACGTTGTGTCAAATGTGGGTTCATGCCCACGTTTGGAAAGTTGATTTTTGGCAGTTTAGTAGTGTTTACGGAGCCTTCGTTGGTTTGTTTATTGGATAATCCACGACTGGAATTCAAGTAACAGGCATATGCGTCTCTGGCTTGCAGCGAATTCTCGTAAAGTATACCCAAGTTTGCCCAAGCGGCAGAATGGCACTTATCCAGTTGCACAGCGCATATGTAAGCTTGCAATGCATCCATCGGCTGGTTTTGCTGTTGGTATAATACACCTATACTGCACCATGTGTCCGCATTCCCTTCAGACTTCTCTACGGAATTCCTGTACGCTATAAAGGCATCATGAACTTTACCGATACTAGCGTAACATCTACCTAATAAGTACAAAGTCTGTCCAGAAAACTGGTCAGCCTCGTTAGCTCTCTGCAAATAATGTATGGCTAGTGGAATACGGTGGTTCTTATCTCCTAACGTGTCTTGGCAGTGATATAACCAGCCCAGCTGTCGAAATATGTCCGCCCTCAACGATTGTGAGATGTTCTTCTCTTTCAAAAGAACTTCGTATCTGTCTTTCGCTATTTTCACTTTCCCTTGAACTTCAAACAAGTGGGCTATGTGAAATTTTACTGCAACAAAAAACAACTATTGTACACTAATTTAGGGTATTATCATTTGATGACTTAAAAATTAACTTTAAAAAATCACCAAAAGATGTTCTGGCTATGCTGAATGAGGAATTAACTTAAAGCCTAATTTGTACATGTCAAATATCGACTGTATCTAGAAGATTGGACATTCTCTAAAAACCTCAACATCAAAACTATTAGTAATTGGGAAATGCAATGTGGCAATAATGTCAGGGCTTTTATTAGGAAGCGTTTAAACAAATAAAAAATCGATTAATGTCAATACGTTTTTATCTAAAAGTAATTTATATCAAATTAAAACCCGATAGAAGATATAACGTGCGACCTTAACGTTTATCAAACGAAATTCATATTTGATATTAGATATTAAATTATAAAATAATGAAATGTTATTTTTTTGTTACATTGAGCCCTCCATTAACTGTACTTTTATTTAAAAATGAATCGCGCATCAGCCACGAGTTTTAGTCTGTCAGAATTATTTAAATAACATAAGAGATGAAACAGTTCCATCTGATCCGACCCAATAAAATAGGGCAACACCATATTATTCTGTAATTGTGTGACTAATGAACAGATGCTGTTGAATGGACGTCTAGATCACCAGACCTTAAGTTATATTAAGTTAAAAACCGTTCTGGTATGATATTTGCGTATAAACCAAAGTCGTAGCAAAACTATACTTACTTGTATTCTTTGTGGCTGTACAGGGACTGTTGTCAACTAAGGCTAACTGTAAATGTTTATGTGCTGAGTCATATTCTTGTGTAACTTTAAACATCAACCCAAGCCTCACATTGACTTCATTAGCTCTCTGAAATCCAGGTGAAACATAGAGCAACTGTTGGAATGCTTTCACAGCCCTGTAACAAATTCATCTTATTAAGAAATTGCTAAGATTACCGAAGAATAAGTTCCCCAAATCAAACAAGATTCTATATGATGCCAAAGATCTTTACGACGATCTCCAGGATCTTCTGGATGGCACGCCATTTGTCATAAGATAGAGTAGATAGGCCGTAGGAAAGACACCAAATTATAAACTGGGTTTTTCTGAGATTACCCTTGATATTAGCAGAATTTGGAATTCTAAAAATGGAATAATGTTGCATCAAGACAAATCTCTACTAAACAAATCTCAACTGAGTGCATGTCATGTTTTTTTGAATAAACAACATGTACTATGTCCCGATGGTGTGAGCTGTCAAATTGAAAGTAAAGTTGATTACCGAAGGACGACAGAAAATGATTTTATTGATATAGACATCCAGAAGCATATATTTCGTAGCCAGCAAAAAGCGAAAAAATCCAACCGATAAGCAACTTTACTTTGAATTTGACGGGTCACACGACAGCTCCCACCACCGGGACATAGTACATGTTGATCATCCCTGTACCCAACTACAAATATCAAGCAAAAAACACGACATACCACTTTTTGCAGTCAGACGACGGACTTATACAATTGAAGGGCTTATTGTAATAACATAAGCCACACTTTTTATAATAAAGGGCTTTTTACTTTAGGACAATAAAAAATAAGGTAACAAAAATCATAAACCAAATGGAAATTCTTTAATAAATACCATCATTAACCGAAAAATCAAGTTATTGTATTTTAACAAAGTTGTAGTATAGCGAAAGTAAAAGTTGGAAAGGCTTTTGGTAGGTAGAGAGGGGGTAAACGTCAAACCACACGGCTTCGAGAATTTCGCGGTAATGTTTACCTGCCAGTGTCGTTTCATAGAATAAGTAATTTTAAATTGTTATCGGCGGAACCGGACAATCGCATGTATTTATGGACTATAAATAATTACACAGGTCCACAAAAAAAAAGTGGTCTGTTTTTTGCAGTTTGACCCCCAATTTTGACTTCAGATTCGTGTTCAGCGGTAAAAAATACGTCGGAAAATCTTTGTCGAACACCCAGCACAGACCACTTTTTTTTTTGTGGACCTGTGTTATTAAACATGTATTATAATATCCAAATCATAATTTTACAAAATTTCAATAGCTATTCACAATTTATTAAACTATTTACTCGAAATTGTTATTAACATCTATAAAATAATTTTGTACGCCAATGTATCGCGTCCACTTCGGTGAGATCCGCCGCAAACCTGTCAATTTATGTGTATAAAGTGGGAGAACTGGCAAAAGCCTTTCCAACTTTTACTTCTGCTATAGTTTTAGAAGTTTATTTTAACCTTTGAAGACATGTTTCCTCAATAAATTAATGTTTTGGCTTGTCACGTTATTCTAATAAGCCCTTCAATTATTGTAAATACGACCTCAGAAAAGGATAGGGATAAAAATAATTTACTTATAGCTTTTTTTGAAGTAAATTGTAAATTTAAATTGAAAAAAAAAATTATCACACGTGTTGTGGCGGCATGTTTTCTAAGATTGGACACGTGTAGTAAAATTATGAAAGTGTATTTTTTTAATACTGTTTAAAATTCTCTTCCTGTACATTGCAATAGATATGCATAAGACTTGACAACGAATATGCAGTGACATGGAAATCGAGACAAAGCAAAACAAACAAGTGCAAGTTTTTATATCCATACACACGTACACAAACGCATATACGGGGAACAAAAAATATACGAGTAAATCCGACGATGTATGGTAAAGATGTCTCATAAAAAATTACACAGTGTATATCGATTACCCAACAAGCAGTCGAAAAATCTTTTATTGAGAGATGGTGGATGCGTATGGTAGAAATGAAACTACCTGTATGCAGCTGCGGACAACAGCTGGTTGCATCGTATCGAGTCCATCTGCTTCGACACATGTTCTATGCGATTAAGGGGGGTGGCCCGAAACGTCGATTTCAACCATTACTTACTGGGCGATTTCGAAAACCAACCCAAATATTGGTGCCGAGACTGGATCAACCAAAATGTATTTACGATATATTTTGACGGCCCACTTCCCAAACCTGTTGCTGATTTTGAATAAAAATGGGTCAGTCTGGATATCGATTTTTTTAGGTGTTTGACCGAAATCGGCGAATAAATAAATAAATAAATAATTTATTTCCCAAAGATAGGACAAAATATGACATCAATAGATTTTTAAGAATAAAATTAAGTACCAAGATAGTAAATAAAGCTTAAACTTATTGAGATTTAAAAAAAAAATATGGCAATTTATTAACATTTTGGCACATAAATTGGTGATTTCATTAGCAGTTAGTTCTGGGAAGAAAAAGAAAATGTGTTGGATGTCCGTGTATTTTGCCGCAATCCCTTCACGTAGAATAGAACAATCAATTCTATTTCAAGGGATGGTACATTATATCTGATACACAACACATTTTCATCAAATCCTTTGGATGGATAGATGCCTTTAACCTCATAATTTAACAACTTTAAAAATTTGGATTGCACCTGTACTAATGCTGTTCTTTTGCAAGTCTGTATTCGGAAAACAAATCAGGGAAGCCTATTCTAACTTGGAACGGACCAATGACTTTAAAGTCCCGAACTTTTGACAATTACGAAATAAAAAACAGTTTATTTACAGATTTAGTGATACTATTAACATATTCATTAAAAGTTAGCTCCGAATCAAATATAATACCGAAATCTCTAGTAGTTTGATCACTCCTGATCAGTATTCTTCATTGTTAAAATCGTATATTAGAAATTACTTTTAAATCATCTGTAAATAACAATTTGGAGCAAACGATATAGTCAGTGACTTCATTGATATAAAAAAAGTAGAGGGTCCATATTGGACCCTTGAGGAACCCCTGAGGTAGCATAAAATATCTTTGAAGAAAATCCATGATAAGAAACAAATTGTTGTGAACGAGATAAAAATGAAAGGAAAAATGTTTTAATTGTTGATGAAAATCCAAACTGACCTAACTTGTTAACGATGGATGAGTTTTGGGTCGATTTTATCAAAAGTTTGTCTGTTAAAATTACATCTACTTGATACAATAAAGGCCCATGTATAAACTGAAAAAAAATAGATGAATAATTAGAAACTGTGAATCGATTTTCCATAAAACCATGCTGATGTATCGATATTAAACATTTAGTTAGGAGGATTCTATTATAATTGCAAATTTCGAAAATCTAAGTAAAATTACTTAAAACCGCAACATGGCGATAATTGTTCAATTGTGAAATCACGAGAAGTTATTGCATTTATTTGTTTTTATTTTGTTTATTTATTTTTTTTTAATCTTAATGGTTCGCTTTAACTATCTTTGATAATAACATAATTATATATAATTAAAACATTAAGAGAATCAAAAGAAACACCGGTACCATATATAAACCTAGCAATACCTAAGGTTTAAAACATCAAACACGAAGTTATTCTTTAAATTACATTGAAAAGTTGGTAGATGTGAAAAGATAATAGAAGGGCACGTGCCTCAACTCACGACCGTAAGCTGGTTTAAACAAGTGGGACAATGGCGTCCAAGATTAACATACATGACATAAATAACCAGGTGCAGAAGTCGCGTAGACGTGCGCTCATGTCCAATTGTCCACCCAACCAGATCAGTCTTGGTGAAATCAAAATTAAGTACAATTTAATGATTATTACATTCAGATGCATTTTTTTAAGGTAATGCTGCTTATTTACACATGTGTTACATATAAGAAGCATGATAAGATACTGAAAAATATTCAAACTGTGAAAATATTAGTTTGGTTTTGGATTGGGTCAGATTAGATCGTTATAATATTATATAATCGAGGTACTGTTGGACCTAAAGCTGAGCCGTGAGGTACTCCTGTCGATTGCAATGGCAAATTATATAATAGCATTTAAACATGGATTACAAATTAAGACTTTAATAATTGTAGTAGTCTGTCGTTTCCGTGGAGTTACATTCATTATTAGGAAGCGATACCTAAACTTCAAACATCGACAAGTTCGGATATAAGCTTTTATCAAAATATGTTGCAAATAAAATTTAGTTACCTACTAAATTATTAATATTATTAATTCTCGGTTATTTTCATTTTATATACTTACCGGTTTTCTATATAAAAAACGTAGCATGATTTTCTAAATAAAAAAAGAAATTGATAAGTTTTTAGTTATATTTTAAAGTGATTACACATTTGACTGTATCAAACAGAATTCAAAACTTGTTACCTATTCGGTTTTTATAATAAACGAACATTCCAATGTAGCTTGTTGAAATACAAAAGAAAGTTATTAATAGCGAAATCTAGAGCAAACCTATCACAATATAATTCTTAAGATAATAGTTAAATCGATAATATAAAACAATTCACTGCACATTTTTGTAATTAACGTGCTGTTTGGGTTGTATACGGGTTATTAACGTGACAAACTAACCCCTTTAAAAACAATATCAGTTTTTATGACAGACAGTTCACACAATAGTTTCATACTTTAATAGATAATCGATTTTAGAGGTTGCACTTGGATAGTAGCCAGTTACAATCGACAGAAAAACTGCCTGTTGGATTAGAGGGCCTACTGAAAATTTCACCCTTTATTGAAGGGTGAATTTTGACGGGGACGCTCCCTCATTTTCACATATGTGATGTACTGTACGGTACATCGTTCTAGAATAGACCGGCGGACTAGACTATTATTATTTTATAACTATTATTTAAAGCGTTAATTCTGATTCATTTTTTTTACACCTTCAACGGAAATCATGATAATTTTTTGGCAAATATGTATTTTTTTTCCATCTCACTTTATAATTTAGAAACCCGATGAATAGAGCAAAAAATACTGTATTTTAGAAACATTAATTGTTGGATTGGACACATCAGTCCATGGGCGCCGTCAAGTCTGTGAAGTCAACGATTAAAGGCGCAGTCGATTTAAAACGGTTGAGGTGGGGGCT